AAAAAGTGGGAAAAAAATAAAGTCTATTGTAAAGCATTAACAGCCATTTGCATCCTAGAAAGGTCACATTAGCAGCCCCTATCAGTGCTCCAAAGCTGAAGCAGTAGAGTGTGAAAGGAATTCTCCAGAGCTCAGAGAAGGAATAAAGGTAGAAGTGGCCCATGGCTGCTTATAAATGAAGCCCAAGATTCCTAGTATTATTAATAAGAGGGGTAGGCACAAGATAATGGTGAGCAGCAAAAAAAGAGTTGACTTGGCTTTTTTTTAATAAGCTAAGAAAAGGAGGTGAGCTAATGGAAATATTCATTATTAACTGTAAATTTTTGAAAAGAATGCTAATTTTAAGAGTTTAAGAGTCATAAATAGTCAAAAAGCACACTATTAATTTTCAAACCAATCAGTTATATGGTATAACCCTCTAAAATTAAGTTACCATTGGGAAGAAAATTATTCACTACTTTAATTGCCACTAATTCCACATCCAAAGGTTTGGATTGATTATAGAAAGATATGTTGTCTACTTTGTATCCAAATATTATTTATTACTGAAACATTTCTAAAGCAATAACCAGCTGACTATTTCATTGCATAAAACTTGAATATTTACTGATGTTTCTTTAAAACTTGCTCTTGCTCCAAAGGAAAGAATTTGATGCCATCACAATGTGTTTTCTTTAACTTGACAGGAAGCAAACTTCAAGCAGACTGATTTAAATCTAGATCTTACTTGGGAAGCATAAATGTCCAATAAACTGTGTGTTGTATTTTAATCTGGAAAATACTCAAGCTCCAGGGGCTTATCATCCTATACTTTACTTTCTGAAACCCTGCAATCCCATGTGGACTTCTGGTAGAATGAGCAATGCAAAGAGTTGGCTTGGACTCGGCATGTCCTTATACTTCTGGGGATTGATGGACCTTACAACCACCGTCCTCTCAGGCACCCCAACACCTCAAGACGAATTAGAAGTACTCCTGTCAGACAAGCCACATTCACATCTGCGAATAAAGAGGAGTTGGGTTTGGAACCAGTTTTTTGTTCTGGAAGAGTACACTGGAACTGATCCATTGTATGTCGGCAAGGTAAGATGTACCCAGTACAGAAATAAATTGTTGGGGTACCTGAGGTTGAAATTGAGTATGTGACTGGGGATACAGCTCAGTGGCACAGTACCTGCCTAAAAAGCACAAAGTCCTGAGTTCAATTCCCAGTATAAAAAAAAAAAAATCAGAAAGAAAGAAAGAAAGGAAGGTTGATTATGTGTATGAATTAAGTGGGAGGAATCATTTACCCTGTGTCTGCGGCCTAAGGAAAAGTTCAACTAGTGACATGGTATTTAAAACCTAGCTAAAATACAACTTTGGCTTTATTAAATAGAAGTAAAACTAGAATTGGGTGTAAAGTCTCAGAACCTGCAAGAGCCATTCCATTCCCAACAGAGGCAGCAGCAGCCTCCTGAAAATAAGAGGGTGGGGCAGAGAGAATAAGAAACCAAAGAGAAAAGTTTTATCCTTTGTAATTTTTTTTCAAAACATGTCCACAGGTATAGCCTGAGGCCCAAATTTAATGAAAAAAAATAAAATATTCTTCATTTCAGAATATCCTAGCATGTGCTTTAGGATAGTTGCAAATAATTGATCAATATATTTATAAACAATATACTTGAATTCCTTTGATTTATCATCATTTCATCATTAAGCCTGTCTTTCTCCTGTGTTTACTTTCTTTGGGTGTTAATCAGAGACCATTTTGTAAAAGCAACCAAATGACAGCCAATGGAAGACAAGGAATTAATTAGAAAATAAATAATTCATTCAAACAATAATTTAAACACTTGTTTAGCACAAAGGCTGAGAGCATGGGTTTCAGATTCAAACACATGTGGTTCAAAGCCCGGCCCTGACAGGTACTTCCCGAGAAACTGTGGAAAGGCTAAGCCCCAGCTTCCTCAACTTTCCAACTGCCGGCCACTTCTCGAGAGTTGCCTACAAGAGTTTATTCTAGCAATCAAAAGCAAGGCCTCACACATGCTAGGCAAGTACTTTACCACTGAATTCTACCTCCAGCCCTATTTATTTTTTGAGACAGGGTCTTATTTGGTTTCCCAAGCTTGCCTCAAACTTGTGATCCTTTCAAACACATCACATCCCAAAAAGGAACCCTTTTTTTTTTATTTCACAAATCTAGTCTTCGCCAGTCCTTCCTATCTCAACATTGCTTTCACACAGTTACTAAAACTAAAGACCTAGTGGTCACTCTTCCCTTTTCCTTGTCCCTGTATTCTCTCCATCTGCAAATTCTGTTAACCCTATGCCAAAATAAATTCAAAATCCACCACCTCTCTCATCTCTACTCTGATCATTCTCTCCCACTCAGGCAAATACCTAGCCTCCAACCAGTCTCCTCTTGTCTTGTGTACTTGCACTTCTTCTAATATGACCTTTTTAAAAATAAATCCAATTACATCACCCCTCTACATGAGTCTGTTCAGCGTCTTCCCTCTGACTGTTTAACCTTCTAAATGCCTCCCCACAGATTAGTGGCGCAGCTTGCACTGTGGCATCCAAACATGTCCTATGCTATACTTTCCTTCATTCTTGTAATTCCAGGGACACAACCTGGAAATCCCTATGACTTAATGAGAGCTTCCTGTATCATTCCCTCATAATGAAATGCCCTACCCCTGTCTTGTCCCATGGTCAGCTGCTCTTCCTTCTTTAGTATTAATTTTGAACCTAAGGTGAGTGCTTCTGGTAGATTCTCACCATTATTTGTTTTACACTCTAATCACAACATGCAATATTTATGTTTCACAAGTCCATTGTCTAAAGCTCTTGACTAGACTAGACATTGCTCCTATGTAATTCTCAGGGTCTAACTTGGTACTTATCACATAAATGATGCTTTAAAAGATTCTTAATGAATGATAAATAAAAGGATTAAATAAGCTAATGCATGTAGAATGCTTAGCATTATACCTAGTCAACACTGAGACTTAAATCATCATGACCTTGGAGGAGTAAGTGGTAACAGTAGTAGTAGGGAGTTCATTAAAAGAATTTACCAACTCTGTAATGCATACCTAATGTAGCTGCAAGGGACCCCATGGCCTCAAAATATGTGGGTTTTATTTATTTATTTATTTGTCCCTCATGTACAATCTGCCACCCTACCTATTAATATTTCCTTGCCCATTTCTCTCAGATTCATCTCTTCATTCTGGGCTTCAACATTACTACCATCATCTGTTCTTCATTAGATTAACTGAATAGGCACTTTGGCTTTGTTAAATAGAAGTAAACTAGAACTGGGTTTGGAGGAAAAGTCTCAGAAACTGCAAGAGCTGACTCCCTGGGCAGAAGCTCCACCCATCCCTCCTTCAGGGCAGACATTTATACCCTCAAAGCATTCACTCCTGCACGTAGCTGCTCTGATTAAGAAAGTGCTGTACCTCTCAAATACTTAGCAGAGCTCCTGGCACTCAGTTCAAGGACTTCCCCCCTTTCTCATCCAAATCCCTCTCACAATTTCTCAAATCAGGAACTCTTCCAAGCCAAGTTGAATCTCCTTTCAAGCCCTTCACTAAATCATGTGGCTCACACCACATTTGTCCTCAACCCAGACATGTGTCCATGCTACTATCCTGCCAAGGACATGCTCCCCACTCCTAAGCCACATTCAAATTTCTTGGGTCCCAGCTTAAATGCTGCTTCTATCAGGAAGACATCTTTCATCTACTTAGAATTCTAAAGATTCCGACATTCTTGATATTGGTAAAACATTTCTTGCAAGTAGACACAGATGATTACTGCCAAAAGAAGTTTGAGAAAAGAATTCATTTGTATGGTGTAAGAATTCATTTGCTTTGTGCTCTCTTACAACTGAAAGGCCTCTGCCCTCCTTCAAAGATTAGAAACAAAGATACTGTTCCCCACTTTTGTGTAGGATAGACCTGGCCATGGAAAAGTACAAAAAGACAAAGGTCACCAACATTGTAATGAACTAACACAGTACTCTGTGTCAGTCAATTCACATAAAGCAGATCACTTCATCACTGTAACAATTCTGTGAAGCAAGTGTAATTAACTTAGAGAGCAGGCTCAGGGAGCTTATGTTCACTGCTCAAAGTTACACTGAAGGTGGCAGATAAAGCCTGGATCAAAAATATCCAACCCTCTTACACTTACGTGTCCAGGGACTTTAGATTTAGCCCTGAGGACACAGAGACAAGTAAGGTGGAATAAGAAATCTAACTGAGCCTGACAGCTTCCTGAATCCTTTCACATTGGCCTTCAGGAATATTTAGCTACTGTAGTACTCTCCAGGACTCACTATGAGTACTAACCCTAATTACCCTTAACCAGGATACAGAATAACTGCACACCCCACAGTCATTTGGTACAATCAGCACACCAGCAACCAGGAAAGGTTTTAATCTCTGCTGGGTTTGTTATCTCCACACAAAGAAGATAGAGATATATTCACATACTAAGCACTTTTCCCCTTTACTTTCTTTTTAAAGAGAATTCATACACCTTTCATTCTCTTTACCCCAGAGGCACTGAGCTTATCATCTTAAGATCTGGATGTCTGTGTAGAAAGACTACCTGAATATTTGCTTATTTCAGGGAAGAGTATGGCAACAATTATTAGCTGTAATTGGTATTTCCTTCTAAAACCCACAATGGGCTTTCCAGGGACAAGGTAGTGTTGAGTGAAAACTAGATTATATTGATATATGCAAAGCAGGATTTTCAGGGAACATATGTTTGTGCATGAATCTGTGGGTCTAAGTCAGGCTGAGTAACATTATGTGGGTACTGTTTAACCACAACTGTAAGCATTAACCACATTTCCAGAATGTCACAAGGCATTCTGAAAGATGACAAAAGGAATAAAAGCTACCCTTCTTTTCAAAATCCTAAAAGAGCTGAGATGTTTGAGATCTGCAGCTACTTTCCATAATTCACCACTGATTTGGCCTGGTGTGGTAGCACACCTGTAATACCAGCACTTGGGAGGCTGAGGCAGGAGAATCATTGCAAGTTCAAGACCCGCCTAGGCTACAGAGTGAGCTCAAGGCCAGCCTGAACTGCATAACAAGACCCTGTCTCAAAAAGACAAAAAACAAACAAACAAACAAACAAAAACACCACTCTTGGCTGAAGAATTAACAGGGTAAGTGAAATACTCACCTGTCTAGATTTTTTTAGGGAAAAAAATGTTTTCCCAGGATCTACATATGTGCAAACCAGGAAGCTAGAGGGGAAAGAAGGAACTTGCTCCTTTACTAAAAGTTGGCCCTAATTTTGGAGGCTTTTTCATCCTCGTAGCCCCGTAACACCCTCTCAGGAGCACCAGAACCACCAATGCCATCCCCTTTTCAAAGGCCTGACTCCCAGGTTTTTAGAACTCTGAAGGAAGAGGCTTCTCTAAGTGCCTATGGCTTCAGTCCTGGGGGAGAGGGGAGCCCCTCCACCATTTAGATGCCAGAGCCCCAATCCTTGGACTTCTGTGGCTCCCACCAGAGAGGACCTGGCTTTCTCCTGGAATTCCCCTCTTGCCTTTTCAGTCTTCTATAGTCCATACCCTCTTAATATAAATGGTGGAGGTTTTTTTTCTGGACAAGATCCTGTACAAGTGGATCCTACCCTGCTTCATAGCTAATACTCTCCCTTTTCATGAGGCCCCCTCTTGCTTCTCCATTACCTCCCTGTCTTCTCACTTTCTCTTGCAAAGAAGCAAGCATACATTCAAGAAGCCAGTGAAAGATGCTAGCTCTTTTCAAACAAAGGTATAACATGGTTCCACAAAAAGCTTTAGCCCTACCCCTTGACTGTCCATTCAATAAACTTCTAATGGGTACATTTTACACATTAAGACCCACACCAAGATGAGGGCTATATGGTCCCTACCTTCATGGAATTCAGTCTGGGGAGTTCAGCAAAAATAACAGATCTCAGCCTCAGCCCAAATTCCATTTGACATCAGCCTTATCAATTTCAAGAACGAGGATATCCTCTTCAGCAGCAGTGACTTCAGAGTCTATTACTTATTATGCAATATCTAAGGGCAGAGCACTAACACAACATCTAGGTTGATTTCAAGTATGTTTAGTTTTATACAGTTCACAGGCCAAAATTTTTAGATGATAAGCAGCAGACCTCAAAAAGTCCTTGACATTCTACACCATAACTTTATGTCAGCTTCTGTCTACCCTACTACCACACACACAGGGACCAGATAATCTGTCATGCCCTAAATTAATTTATTTCAGTGTAAGTTTCATACTACATGCATTAAAATCCCTCCTCTTACACACACACACACACACACACACACACACACACACACATTTTCTTCTTCAAGAAACATCATGAAATCTTTGTCCCACCCTCTACTGAGAAGCACAGTTCCAAATGGAATACATTTTCATTTCTTTGTGCCCAGATCCAGGTGAAATGTCTTTCTAGTCTACACCATAACTGCTGGGCACTTCTCCTTTTTTTAACTTACATAAATGGAAGATTTGGGTTGTAAAAGAAATATTAATGAATATAGCACATATGGAATGAGGAAATGTAAGATCTTCACATTCTACAATAAATACATTAAGAAAAAAAATTCACAACTAATTTTTTCAGTCAATATCATTCTCTTGTTTCCTTTCTACATAAGAGACAGCTGAGTTCCTCCAGGCAGCAAAATCGTTGCCTGATTTGGCCAGGAGTCAATTTTAGATCAGCTCAAAGCCAGCCACAACCTCCAAAGCCATCCCTGTCTGAGGATACTGTGAATGCATTTCCAGGTGTCTCTTGGTGTCCGTGAGCCTTAATCCTCAGAGTAGCACTGCCCTACCAGTGCTTCAGGCTGCCTTTGGCAACCCTGGCCATTGGGCTATGACAGTAAAAAAGCCTTCAGGTAGTTTTGCCCTTACTTCTATGCTCCTGGAGGCTTGGAGGGACCAGAAAGGAGCTGGGTGTGTCAAAACCCTTTTCTCTATGCAGGTATTTGTAAACATACAGCATGTTTTCTGATTGTGCCTCATATTTAACTCCTTACCTAAGCTTAACACTGGTTTTCTGTTTTATAAATTTATGTCATGAACTTCACTGAGCTATGCAAAATGCTAACAATGCAGGCAATGGCAGTTAGTTGTGCTGACTAAATTTAACTAATTTTCTGCCCCTTTAGAAAGAAACTGTTACCTATAAGATAGCATAAAAGTTCAAAGTTCTTGCCCCCCATACACATTACCCACAATTATTACTGCAGAAATTTGTTTCTAGGCCTTGATACAAAAATAGTACTCCTGAGCACCTCTAGAGAGATATTCAGAAACAATCTGGGATAAATACAGTTTGACGGGCAGACAGAAAAACACCCATAACTGAAGCACCTGCACACATACTTGAGTGATTCAATTATGAGCCCAAAACTGAGTCCCAGCAAAAGGAGAGATACAGTGATATAATTTAATCAGTATTTAAATTCCATATGACACTTGCAACATAAGCACAGTTCTAACTGAATGAAATTACAAAATTGGGGTCACATACTGAGGAGTTGTAATAGTCCCTGAAAGTCATGTATTATTTCCTCTATTATGGGAGCTGTTACCTTTTAATGAATCACTTCATCAGATTTTCAACAATGTTAAATTGTCATAAGTTTTTGATACTCCAAAAATCAACTTATAGAAAATTTTTAAATTTTTAAAATATTTAGGCTTATCCCTTTCTTTTCGTAGTTGTAAATGCAAAGTTCCTCTGTGTTAGACTTGCTTTTATTCACAGACTGGGATCTATACTTTCCAAAAATGTTTTCTATATTTCTCAAGGAGAAGAATTTAAAAATAATATTAAGTTCAGGATACTGAATATGAGATAGAAAAACTTTATTTATCAATCTGTATTTTGTCTTCAATCCAATCCTATTCAAAGCATAGTTCTTTGCTGACAGACTTTTTAAACACTTGAGTGAAAAAACGCATTCCTGTGTGAAGGGAGGTCATAAGTTTGTGCCAAACTGAAAATCAATTTATTCCCAACACCTGTTCATACCCATAATGAGACTGTGGTGCTTTTTCCTCCAGCTTCATTCAGATATGGATAGGGGAGATGGATCCATCAAATACATCCTGTCAGGAGAAGGCGCAGGCATCGTGTTTACCATCGATGACACCACCGGCGACATCCACGCCATCCAGAGACTTGATCGAGAGGAAAGAGCCCAGTATACTTTAAGGGCTCAAGCCCTGGACAGGCGAACAGGCCGTCCAATGGAGCCAGAATCAGAGTTCATTATCAAAATCCAAGACATCAATGACAATGAACCCAAATTCCTGGATGGACCTTATGTTGCCACAGTGCCAGAAATGTCACCAGTGGGTAAGGTGGTGATTCACTGATTTTCACAAATAGCAGTTGCCCTAAGGAAAATCCATATCTAGATGGATGCAGAAAAAGAGAATATGCAGAACAACTCACAAATTTTAAAAGTAAACCAAAAATGATATTCCTTTGGCAGGCAGAAAGCTATTTAGACAATGGAATAAGCCATAGCATTGTAAATGACAAGCTTTGTATTGCTTTCCAGTTCTGATTCTTTAAAAACAAAAGAAGAAATGAACAACAGACAGATAGATAAATAATATTTGATTCATAAGGAAGAAGCATTTTAGTATTATCAAAGAGCAATAAAGATCCCAAAGACTGTGCACCCTTGTTACTAAATACACACACACACATGCATACAAGTAACTATTATCCTCATTAAACAAGTACAACATAGGAGTTATGGAAGCTTGACTTAAGACTTTCCCCAGGAAACAAACATAAGGAGTACAAATGCTTTAAGACTGACTACTCAGGATTGTGTCTGGCCATAAGCAATTGGACTTGAACAGATTTCCATAACTTCTCTTCCTCAGGTACCTCTGTTATCCAGGTGACAGCCACAGATGCTGATGACCCGACCTATGGCAACAGTGCCCGGGTAGTGTACAGCATTCTCCAGGGCCAGCCATATTTTTCTGTGGACTCCAAAACAGGTATCTGATGCAAGAGTCAAGTCAGAGGTGTTTCCTTTATTTCATAATCCTTTGTAACTATTACTTATGACAGGCCCAACTCTCGTTTTCAAGGATGTTCCAGGGAACGTATTAACCTGCAAAGACTGTTAGAAGCATTAGAATTAAAAGAGCAAAATAGCACTGTATTGGGGGGTGACAGTAGCACTTTGTGTAGACAGTGTACAGGGGCTGATTGGAGAGGCCAAGCCCTGTCTAAACAGAAATATTTTCTCATTTGCCTCCAAAAATCCTATGGTTATACTGGATCCCTGGGGCCAAGGTCTTTTATAACTTCAAGAACCCAAAAGGACTGACGTATTCACCTGGACTCAGTCTAGCATTAGAATTACTGATTTTGGAACTAGAAAGAAGCTTTGGGGAATCATTCAGCCCACAACCTTAACAAATAAGGAAACTGGGAAAGAGCGAGCTACCAAAGTTCATCTATTTGCAGATAAGTCTCTTGATATGGGATCTGATGTTCTTTTCCTGAACCACCAAGTATTGAGCAAAACACAAGGCTACAGTGAATGGCTGCTGGGGCAGAAAGGTCGTGATGAAAGTGGAAAGAGCACATGGGATGTGGCCGCTAAAAAGGCAGACTCTGAGGAGCAGGTTAAGAGGAAAGATGGTGGAGAGAACTGAATAGTTAAAGAGCAAAGTGGCAGAAAGGCACAAACCAATAGAAGTTTGAGTGTTTGTTTAATTTGGTCCTGAAAACTTTGACTGCAGTTTCTATGTTTTAATCTATGAAGGGTTCCCTTTCATACGTTTGAGTTGAGCAGAAATAATAATTGCTATATCTTCATTTTATACTTGTGCCAGGATTTCTCCCTTTTAAAATACTTCAATAAAACATTGCCATTTTTTAACCCTTCCAATAATATTGTGAAGTAGCAAAATATAAAGAATTATCATTATTCCAATTTCACATAGGGAAAAACAGAGCCCTAAGAAAAGAAACTTGAGTAAAGAAACTTCATATAGGTAAAGTCAATGGTGAGTACCCAAAGTCACCTCTTTATTTGAAGGAGAAAAAGTACATTTCTATTATTAGCAAACTGGCAGAATTTTCTTTTCCCCAGAAGTCCTAATGATAGGCATTCAGAAAATTGTATCATAAAAGTAGAATGTGAGGGAGTGTAAATTAGCAGGAGGAAAAAAGATTGCAGCTAGGGACTTCAATAAAACAGTAACTTCAACAATTCTTCTAATAGGAGAGGGAGAATGAAAGTGTGCCCACAGGGAGGAAAAATACAGAGAGGAAGGGGGTAATGTGTCCTCATCTTAAGAAGAATCTTACATTATTTTGACAGCTCCTAGGGAGCATCAATAGTGTTAAGGTCAAAACTACATGAAAAGATAGTTATTGCTGTGCCCAAGAGGCATTTAAAAAAGAAAATTTTGCATATTTCACTTTAGAATATTATTATCAAATGCAATATACACATTGCATAGAATAATGGGGACAGTTTGTTCTTCCCAGTCCCTTCCCTTGTCATACAAATGGTCTATTTAGTCATTGGTCATGCCATAAACTTATAGCAAATGAGACTTTGGTCTTTACCTAGTATATACAAAAAGTTTTTCTAAAGTAAAGGGTTAAAAAGGAGGTAAAACATTACAGCACACCCTTGGCAGGATCAAAACAACACATTTTAATGGATTTGGTTTAGACCCCTCCTCTTAAATGAAACTATCATCATCCTACTATGATCAAACTGCTACTTACTGCCTGGAGATGTTCATCTTTTATGCACAGTAAAAACGAACTACTCACAAGCACCTTTCATGTCTGAGGTCATGGAATTCAGTGAAGCACAGAGGTAAGCAGAACATAAAATAAAGAATGAATATGTAACAAAAGGAAAATTGAATCAGAATTCTAACACTACTTACAGGTAGTGAGGAGGCAGGAAAAAGTAGAGTAGCAAGCTATCTAAAGAAGAATAATGTACTCTGCGAGGGCTCTAAGGGCTGAAGAAAGAGCTGAAGGAGAATTACCTAAAATCACAGATTTGTAGACATATGAGGCTTTGTTTTCTAAATTCAAAGGCCCAGTTTTCCTTGGTTCAACTGAGCAGTCTGAAATTGCCTTGGACTGTAATTCCCCAGTTCTGTAAGAGAACCACTGCTGCCACCTCCCGTTCTCACTCAGTAATGTTGCCAAAAGAAATCAATCCTTGGAGCCTTTCCTGCTGGAATAGTGTTTATTCATTATGTGTTTTGCACAGCACCTTTTTTTGTTTGTTTGTTTTTCAAAGCTGAGTTTTTGTCTCAAGTTTAATAAAATGGGAGAAATGCCATCTCCACTCAAGGCATTTATTGCGTGCAAGGAATCTAGAAATGAACCTTTTATAAGCTGAACTTATGGCTTTGATTTTAAAAACAAAGTCATTTCTATCCTGCAGGTGTAATTAGGACAGCACTCATGAACATGGACAGAGAAGCCAAAGAATACTATGAAGTGATTATCCAAGCCAAGGACATGGGAGGGCAGCTTGGAGGACTGGCTGGGACTACCACAGTCAACATCACCCTCTCAGATGTCAATGATAACCCACCCCGCTTTCCCCAGAGTAAGTACTTAACCAACAAAAGCACGGTTCTTCCGCTTGAGAGACACACCTGTAACAGAGGTGCAAGAGAAAGGCCAGTCTGAGTAGACCCAATTATTCCTACAATCACTATGAAATTCTACCATTTTCCACCTGAGCCTCAGCTTCCCGTAGCACTTATTTAGTGTTTCTCAAACATTTTTTCACTAGTTCCCCCATGTAAGCCCTTCTTAAGACTTGCTTTCTGTTTGCCACAGCCACCCACCCAGCAAAAAGGCAAATACTAAGAGCCAAGATTTGTTGGGTAGAATTGAACTTTCATAGGCACATAAACTGACATTTCTAAATTCTTTTCACCACACCCCGACAACATACATACACACAAAGCAAGAATGAATTTCTGCCCCCTACAGGAGGACGTTATATTAAAAATGCATTTATTGAAACTACACCAAAGCTGCAGCAGAGCACACCCACCCATCTGACCATTTTAACCAATCAATTCACAATAGAAGCTGAACATTTGCTTTGTAACAGCATTTGGCGTGAGGGGCAACAGATATTCAAAACCTAGTCCCCTTGCCCCTGTGAAGGTTAGAATCCACTGTGAGCACACATTCTATACATAGGAAAACTTAATCAATAAAGAGTATTTGGTGTGCCACTTGCATAGTTCACAAGTGGTATAAGTAAGCTTACTAAGTCGATTGACCCTACAGTACAGAAGAATAGAATGTAATAGAATAGTTTGCATAGGGATTGGGTTTTTGTTCACAATAAACCAGTATGAATGAAGACTTTCCAGACAGATGAGACTCCAACAGAGGATTAAAAAATAGAAAGGATTTATATAGGCATAAAGAAACATATTCCAGAATGGGGAAGCCATTCATTCATTAAACAAACATTTGTTCCAGACAATGTTCTAGGTATAGGATACAGAGCAGTACAAAAAACTCTGCTCTCTCAGAGCTCATGTGAATATATATATAATATTTTTATAATTTATATAATATTTTTATAATACATATGTGCCAAACCTTTCATATGAAACTCCCTATATCATTTTATGGTCAAAAGATTCCTAAAACTCAAGATATGCTTTTTCAAATGTATTGTATTTGTTTTCTCTTCCCTTTTCTTCCTTTCTTTATTTCCTCCAGTAGTGGGGATTGAACCCATGGGTACTCTAGTACTGAGCTATACTCCAGCCCTTTTTATTTTTGAGAGAGGGTTTTGTTAGATTACCCAGGCTGAGCTCCAACTTGAACTTGGGATCCTTCTGCCTCAGCCTCCAGAGCACTGGAATTATCACTATGCCAGGTTTGTGTGTTGTATTTCTCATGGCAGCCTGAGAATAACTTTTGAGCAAGAGACATAAAGAAAGTCTAATTTGGTATTACAGGATAGGCTTCCAAAAGCATAGACTAAAAAGCAGGAGAGCTGTTGAGTCATTCAGAGTGGTTCCAGACTTGAGCTGAAAAGGACTAAAGGAAATAGCTGAATCGAGTCGACAAATAAGAGATACAGACTTTTGCTTCTTGATTTCAAGGCTAAGCAAACTGAGGCAGAGGATGCAGTCAAAGATGACAACAGCGTTTTAAGTCTAGGTGACAGGCAGAAGAATTGTACTACTAATAGAAATAGAGGATCTATAATAAAACTAGTGGCAGGGAAGGAAGGAGACAAATTCAGATCTGAATATGAAGTGACAACAGAACAATCAGACGGAATGTCCTTAAGGAAGGTGGAAATATAGAGCTATGATAATAGAGCAGAGCCCCAGAATGGAGATGTGAGTTTGAAAAGTGGATGCCTGAAGGCAGTAAGCTGGAAAAGTGAGCACAGCAGACACAATTTCAGGTGAAATGGAGTCCCCCCACCCGCCCCCAAAAAAGAAACTAAGATAAAACAGAGTCAAGCCATACTACCAGCTGAATAGATGCATTTCGAATCAGCTAAATCAAATGAACCTTTTATTTTATCTGTGTAAATACAGGAAGAGAGCTCAAATATTTACACACAACTGGTATGTGCAGTTTCCTGAGCATTCATAAAACCAAAAGGCAGGATACCAAGTTAAGCATTTTACAAATGGTGGTGGCTACGAAGCTGAGTGGCCCTATAGTACGGAACACGGAACAGTTTGTGAGATGACACAGGGAGTGACATTTTGTTCCTTTACTGCTTCTGTGAGTTCCACCTTCATAGTCATGAAGGGCTCACACTGCACACAACTGTACACTGCAAATTTTTTGAACATCCTTTAATTATTCAACTTTTTAAACTTGGCACAAGACAGGATCTCTGACGGAGGCACAGGGGCAGAAAAGCAAGTTATTACATAGCTCAAAAGTGTAAGGATTTGGACATATTATAGGAAAATAATGTCACCCCAAACATGGCAACTTCACAGTGGCATAACACAATAAAATTATGACCAACATTCCAATTTTGCCTCCCACACCAAAATCTCAATGCTATTCTAAAGGACACACTTTGACCAGTTACTCTTTCAAAACTGAGTAATAATGAAGAATCTACGGTAGGATGGAAGTATGGACTATGCTTCATGGAAAATAAAATGAAACAACATAATTTAAATCTGTGCCTCTAACCATTCTTTGCATATTGCTTCCCCTAATATGGTCATTATTTTTGCACTTCTTAAAAACCTTGTATTTAGTGGGCATGGTGGTGCACAGCTGTCATCTCAGCACCTCCAAGGCTGAGGCAGGAGAACTGCTGCAAGTTCAAGGAAGCCTGGGCTACATCTACATAGTGAGTTCAAGAACAACCTGAACTACATGGAGAGACCCTGTCTCAAAAAAACTGAAAAAAAAAAAAAAACCAACAAAAATAAACTTACATTTCATCACCATTAAATATTTTCCCATCTACTTGCTAAAACTAAGTTTTAATGACCTCACTATTCCATAAGCCTTTCTTGGATGATCTCTACCATTTTATTACTGTTCTGACTTCATTGTAGGAATTCTGCTTAGCCTCCTTTTCACAAATATTACCATAACTGATTATGTGATGCTGACAAAATACTCCACCTGTTCTTTCACACTGAACAAACTCAATTGCTTTTAACTGAAACAAGATCAAGATTTTAAGCTAATTATTTCTAATATAACACAGTATGTTTAGAAATTTTATGTGCGTGTTTAAACATGTAACACAACTTTCCTGGTGTGGAGAAAACTGTAGGCAGATGCTCCATTTTACAACAGCAAAGTGTAATCTATATGAAACTTTAGAAGTGAGTGAAAAAAGTGAACTTCACACATCTGCCAACTTAGTACAGTACAGAATTCCTGGCTCATATTTGTAAGCAACAGGCATCATGTCTTCTGGGCAAAGTGTGGTCCCATGAGCTGCCTAGGTATCCTCAACCTCCTCAAATCTTGTGAAGAATTAAGCCCTTTTAACTTCAGATTTCTCTGTAGTTTACAACGCATATTAGAAAAGAGATCACATATATATTGAAAATACGATTATACAATTTTTTTACTTAGTGTACATTTGACAAAATAATGAAGAACATCAAGAAATTAACAGAGAAAGTAAGTTAGCAAAGATACGACTTCATGAAAATGAAAATAAATTGACTTTAATTGTGAATTAGAATAGCAAGTCAAAAAGGACAGTATTACTACCTCTGTTCTTCTTCTATATGTGGGAGTATTTTTGGTATTCTATACTGGAACAGGAGAACAAGTGGCACCAGGGGTCCATTCATGAAGAAGTAGATAGAAGTCTTAGCTGCAAGGACATGTTGATGGACCACAAATGGAGTTGGTGGCATTTATGCCCATTCTTCTCTGTGCCATCTCCTCCTGTACATACAACTGATCTCCATCAGCTCTGAGCAGGTGACCCTAGAGACAAGAATCAGCACATTGGCCAGGCCATGAAGCCAAATGTGGCATTTCAAATACAAACAATAAATGTGTACTTTGTAACTACAATGTTTTCTCTTACTCAGAAGTAACTAACATTTAAGGAAATATTTCCATTCATAGGGAATACCAAAAGTTTGGAAAGCAAGGTACTTCCCCTCACTCAGAAGATAAGAGTCACTGGGTTGAGAAGTAGTTTGGCTTCTATCCTGTTCTACTGTTAAGATTTTAGTGAAGCTATCCTGACTTCTTATTGAAGACCCACTGCAGGCTAAGACCTACAAGACTGTTTGCTCAGTCCCTCTGAATCTCAGTTTTCATCTGTATAACTCCAGGGTTTAATTTTTGAACCAAGAAAAATGTTTTGCACATAATGCCTGGCACGATGTGATAATGATGAGGTGTTTTTGTAGTGATAAATTATGAAGAATACCTATTCCTGCTTTTCTTCACAGAACATTATCAGATGAGTGTGTTGGAATCTGCTCCAGTTAGCTCCACAGTGGGGAGAGTGTTTGCTAAAGACTTAGATGAAGGAATCAATGCAGAGATGAAATACACTATTGTGGATGGAGATGGTGCAGATACCTTTGACATTAACACAGATCCCAGTTTCCAAGTTGGCATCATAACTGTGAAGAAGGTAATATAACTCCTGTTTCCAAATCATTTTCATGGATATTTTAAATATAAAATTCTAATGATGTTTGTACTATGGATATGTACTGACTTAAATGCTCTGATAAAAGCCTTTTCCTATTATTAAAAATATATCGCTTACTCCTTGTGCTTATCTGTGAACATTGGCTATGCTACTATTTTACAGAAAGGGTAATGGGTCATGATAAAAACATTATAACGATGCCATTTCTCCTACTTAGCCACTTAAAAAACTGTTGTGGGACCAGGGATATAGCTCAGTGGCACAGCACCTGCCTGGCAAGTGCAACATCCTGAGTTTGATTCCCAATACCAAAAAAAAAAGAAAAAAAAACTGTTGTAAGTTAATTCTCTAATCATGTTAATGATTTAATCAATATTTGAATCACACATACTTACCATAGTGTACCATAAATAACAACAAAGCAAGTTGTAATGATAGTTATGAATTAATAAATAACATGCAGAGATTTTAATTGCTTCTTGATGATCCATAAATACAAATTAAACTTGAAAGAGTTTTTATCATAGTTCATGAGTGACTGTTACCACTTAAAGTCCTTTGTTTCATGGTAAGTACGAAGGTTTCTGAACATATCACTTCTTTCGGTGGTATAAAACATACATGGATAAATTCAGTTAGAAAATAAAATTTTAATTAAGAATTAAAACCTTACAAATAAATATGACAAAACACATTAATTTAAAGCATCCTCCTTCTCCATTTTGAACACATTTTAAAATCCAAGATATAATAACTACTAAGTGCAAACTATCTCCCAGGTATTATTCCAGGTCAGTGATGATCAACCTTTTAGAACTTTCAATGATACAAACAGCTGGCTGCAGCACACTTGCCATAGGTTTGTCACCGCTTTTCTAGGCATTTACTGTAGAGAGTAAATAAAAAATAACAGCAAAAATCTCTACCTTCATGGAACTTACATATTATTGAGGGGAAGGAGACAATCAAAACAGCAAATCATTAAAGTAATATGGTGAGTGAGAACTACTACAGGGGAAGGCGTAAAATAAAAGAAAATAAGGACAGTCAAGATGACTTCAAATTTAAATTTCTGATTGGGACTGGTCTTGCATAGAAGTGACATTTAGTCAAAGACCTAAAGTGAGCAGAGTCACAGCAGAAATGAGCAAGCTGACAACGTACCACTGTGAAAGCTACCATATAGAAAGAAGACTTTTGGTGAGACTGTCCATGGCTACTATGGAGAGAACAGAATACACATGGAGTTACTGAACAAAGTGGTCCAAAGAGAAGTGGTCCAAACAGAAGGGCAGCAGTGCAAAAGCTATGGAGTAGGCTCATTCCCGGTGTGTTTCAAAAACAGAAAAGGCATTTATAAGGCTAAAGACAGAGAAACTTTTAAGAGATGAAGTCAGAAAGGTAAGAAAGGACCAGACTGTTAAGCCCATATAGGCTGATTATAAGAACGTCAGTTTTTATTACTCTGAGTAAAGGAAGAAACAAATGGAGGATTTTATCAAATATGTGATAAAATTACTCTGTAAGCTATGTAGAGTTTTTTTTTAAAAAAACAACCATAAGGGGACAAAGATAAGAATAAGAACACTGGCATGGCTATTACAATAATCTAGGCAAGAGATGATGGTGGCTTCGCCCAGGGTGGTGGGAATGGAGGTGTGAGAAGCAGCCAGAATCTGTACATATCTTGAAAGTAAGGACAGTATGATTTCTTAAAAGATTGGATGTGGATATGAAAGAATAAGTAGAATCTCCTGAACAAAAAGACTGGCATTGCCATTAGAAATCTACAAGTAGAACAGATAGCAGGAGATGGATTGCAAGCATCAGGATACTGTTCTAGACATGCTACATTTGCAGTGCCCGTTATACACTCAAACAGAAATGTGTAGTAATTTGAGTTGCAGGAATCAGGATTCTGGCAAAGAGTTTTGGGCTAGAAATATAAATTTAAGAGTCCTAAACAAATAAACAGTACTTGAAGCAAATAAAATAAAATAAGATTCCCAAGGACCAAACATAGAAAAGGGACAGAAAAAAATGAGACCTAATGTATCCAACATGCAGAGGGCAAAAGAAGAGCACACAAACCCAAGAGACTGAAGAAAGACCAGGAGAGTGAGGGAAATCAAGGGACTGTGGTGTAATGCAGGCACAAAGGAAGCATTTCAAAGAGAAGGGAGTGATCACCAGTGACAAATACTGCTGAAGGTGAAAGAACATTAGAAATTAACCAAAGAAAAATTTTAAATTTTAAAAAAAATTAACCAGAGACTTTAGGAATACAGAGGTCATTGATGACACTGACAAAAGCAACAAGGCAATAATAAAATGTGGCACAAGGTGTATTTGTAGTAACTACTTTGTGTTGTTTTATAGAACTGAATTAACTCTGCTTTAGAAGGGAAGAAGAGTTACATGCACATGTTTGTTCTGCCTTTATTTAAGGTGCAATCAGATGCAGAGAAGGAAACGGGTGTATTCAAAATTCCACCTACCAAACATCTTTATGACCAGCTCAAAAAGTACAAAACGCTGAAATTGACTTGTGAATCATCTAATAAATCTGGATGGAATTAAAATATGCTTATTTCTTACTTTATTCTCATTCTTTAAGGATATCACAATGCTAGAATTATAAAAAGTGACTATAAAATCCATTTGTTGTATGACTTGGGGTTAAGAACTATCCCTACAAGATATCATATCTAAGTAATCACCAATACATTGTTAATCATGACTAGTAACTACACTCAAAATTTTGAATAATTATTGTTTCTTGAATGCAAAAAATTCTATTAAAAATGAAACAATCAGAAAAGGCTTTTGTGATGCTACCTAAATTTTATTTACACCCTATAACAATTCCAAATAATAACATTAATTTATGTTATACTATTACAATACCACTTAGATCTTATTATAAGACATTCATTTTTTAAAATATATTACTACAATTCGAAGAACTTCAAAGTATCTTTTCTGCAGCTCTCTTACCTGAGAAAAAGATTAAACCTCAAGACATACCATTGTCTCTCATTGTTATTACTAAAGCTGTATCTATATTTAATCAAAACATGTATCATTTTTCTAAGGTGATTTTGATATCTGTTCTGAACTTATGAGCAGCTAGAAATGAAATTAATAAAAAGGTCAAAAGTTGATAGATGGTCAAGTCACATATAATAAATACTGCAGAGGCTTTTCACTGCTCAGTCTATACCTCTGTATCAACACTCACTCAGCTGACCCACACCCATCTTCCCACTTTGTCATTAATGCCATAGAAAATTGAAACAAAGTTTTGCTTTTGATTTATTTCTTTTAGGCCTATTATTTGTCTAAAAAGCCCATATTCTTTTCAAAAGGAGAAATTAAGCTGAATTGATAGAACTGGGTTTTCATAAAACCACAATGATTACTACCCAGTACCATGAGTCCTTTTAACTTTTAAGTAATCAATCAATTGATTTTTAGTCTCTGAAATGCTCAAAATATATAATTTTCAGAATGTTCCTTATTCTGTGGGAGCATGATGTGCCATTTTCTACTCTTCAACAAGTCTTCCATCTGTCCCCATTTTACCTAGGAAGTCATAAATTACAATTCTTATCACTGTTTTATGTGCCACTTAAAAGTTCTTACCAATTTAAATGATACAATCCCTACTTATTTGTAGTTTATTTAACAGCTATGGTAGACAAAGACATATTTGCCTCACTATTATGAGATTTACTCCCTGTGCCAATTTCCATGGCATTCTGTCTACAAAGTAACTTTTGTTTCAATGCTGAATCAATATACAATCTTCAACGCAATAAAGTTCAACATATGCAGTACCAACAGCATGCAAAACACAACAGAAGGAAAATATGAATGGCTCTGACTAGGCCTGATTTACACAGGCACTAACAACTACATCCCATCATCTTCTGTTGAGCCCACAGCAATTGGGAGTTGTCTTCAACTGCAAAAGCATCTTTCCAAAGCATCAAAATATTTTAAAATGTGCAGCTTAGAATAAGTGAAATATGGTAACACAAAATCCATATTTAATCTGTCTGTATATATCATCACTCAAATAGTACATGCTAATTCACAGTGAGAAATTTTTGTGTTATTCAGTTTGGGAGAGGGTGCTACATTTTCAGTTGTAGGCCTTTCTAGGAACTGGGAATAAAAATCTAAATCATTGTCATTACATCTGGGAAGGAACCAAAACACAAAGAAGTATCTATAGTACAAAACAAGAAGAGCTATAATGGAAATACAATAAAATACTAGGGAAATCAACGCGTGAATACTTAATTCTTGTATTTCATTAACTTAACTAATAAAGCTGCATTACTATTTTGTGCTATCATTTTCATACTTTCACTTTCAAGGATATAATGCCTTTTCATTTTATGTGCACTAATTCCAGAAAATTTCTTAAACTTTGAACTCATGTTATTATTCTTTGATTTACCATTATAAATACAGATATAAACAATTATTTGAGGTTTAGAAAAATAGGAACAAAAACTATTCAAGATAAAAAATGCTAAACTCATGCATCAAGTCTAGGCAATTTAAAGCTAGAAGCACTAGTACAGTATTTTCTTTCAATTTTAAAAGTGAAAGTAAAAAATAATCTTAAATAGTTTTTAAAAATCATGAGTAACATTTAAAAAGAAACTAACAGCAATTAAACACTCACTCAAGTTTCTTCAACAGATGGTGCTACAACAATGGGGTACCAAATAAAAAAAACCTTCAATTATACCTCCAAAATATAAACTCAAAATGAATCATACAACTAAATGTAAAAATTACAAACATAAAATTTCTACAAGAAAACAGGAGAAAATCCTTGTGACCCTTACATGTCTTCAACATACTAGAATCCCAGTCTACAAAAAATTTTTTAAAATTGATAAGACTTCAAAATTAAGAACTTTTGCTCTTCAAAATATTCTGTTAAGAGAATGAAAAGACAAACCCTGGTGGTGCATGCCTGTAATCTCGGCAATCTGAGAGGTTGAGGCAGGAGGATCACTTCAAGCCTAGCCTATGCAATTTAACAACTTAGTGAAACCATGACTCAAAATGTAAAAAACAACTTTTTTTAAAGGGCTGGGAAAATGAGTGTACCTAGACATCATAATGTTAAGTGAAATAAATTAGATGCACAAGCCTAAATGTTGCACTGTTTCTCTTATACCCAAATTATAAATAAAGAGCAAAATTAAAGATAATAGGAAGTAAGGAGATAGGTCTTTCTCAACTGGCAAGGGGATCAAGAGATCAAGTGACGGGACAGAAGGGGATGAAAAAAGGAATGAAGATGTGTAATGTACATTACCAACTCCATATAAGGAATTTAAACATTATGTAACACAGATATAGAGTAATAAAAAAATGACTAAGGCTGGGGAGGTAGCTCAGCAGGAAGGCTCCAGATTCAATCCCCAGTATATAAAAAAGCAAAAGAACAAAAAGACAATCCACAAATTGGGACAAAGGAGTTGCAAACTGAATTTGTGATAAAGGACTCAATTTAAAGAATTCTTCAAGCAAGCATTTAAAGACATATCATTAAGCATTAGAGAATAATAAACCAAACCATAGTAAGAAACCATTTCATACACAGTATGACAACTAGTTTTTTCAAAAACTGATAAAGTAGTAACAAGGATATAGGGAAACTAGAACTCTCATAAATTTCTGGTCATGATGCAAAAGATACTCTCACTTTGAAAACTAGTTTCAAAGGTACAAGTTATACACTTATCAAACAATCCTGAAATCCTACTCCTAATAATTAACCTGTGAAATGAAAACTTATACTCACACAGAATGTTTAGAATGCTTTTATTAATAATTGTTAAAAATTGAAAGCAACCCAAATATACTTCTTGTCGAGCTTGGAGAAGTCAACTTTTGTACACCCATACAATGGAATATTACTCTACAATAAAAAGGAATAAACTACTTATTCATACAATATGGATGAATCTCAGATGCATCATGCTGAGTGAAAGAAACCAGACTCAAAATATTACATACTAGATAATCTGTTTTAATATTTAGATCTTTGATTCATTTTGACTTTAATTTAGTGCATGGTGAAAGACATGGGTCTAGTTTTAGTCTTTGGCATGTGGAAAGCAAGTTTTTCCAGCACCATTAAGGACTTCTATCTAGGACATATAAAGAATTTTTAAAAATCAGGCCCCCACAAATTCAAAGACCCAATCCAAACATGGGCATCTGAGATGAATACACACTTCTCTAATGAAGAGATACTAATGGCAAATAAATACATAAAAAAATGTTCAATGTCATTGGTCATTCGAGAAATGCAAATTAAAACAACACTGAGATTCCATCTCACTCCAGAAAGAATGGCTATCATCAAGAAATCAACCAATAACAAATGCTGGAGAGGGTGTGGAGAGAAAGGAATCCTATTCCACTCCTGGTAGGACTGTAGATTGGTGAAACCACTGTGGAAATCAATTTGGAGATTCCTCACAAAACTAGGATTGAAAGTCCCATTTAACCCAGCTATACCCTTCTGGGTATTTTCCCAGAAGAATTAAAGACATCATACCACAGCGATATATGTGCACCCATGTTTATAGCAGCACAATTTGTTATAGCTAAATCTTGGAAACAACCCAGATGCCCATCCACTGAGGAATGGATAAAAAAGATGTGGTATTTTTATACAATGGAGTATTACTCAGCTATTTAAAAAGATAATCTCGTGACTTTTGTAGGTAAATGGATACAACTAGAGACCATACTCATAAGTGAAACTGATCAGACCCACATGTGTAAACATCATATTGTCTCCTTGGTGGAGGAACTTGAAAGACTAGGTAAAACTCAAAACGTACAATAGATGATAGGAAAGGGAAATAAATTGCTCAAAGGAAGGAACAATTGGGATGAGGGAAAGAAGAAAAAAGAAAGAAGGAAGGCAGAACATAAATATATATGTGAATAGCTGCGATGACTGTATTGCTGATGTCTGATGGTGTACTGAAATGAACAGTTAATGCTATTTTTTATGTTCTGATCAACTTTGCATGCTTGTGTCTGGTGGTCTGAGCAACTGATTGGAAGGTAACAATATGCAATGGAATTACAGTAGTGAACTCCTATCATCTTGTCTAGTGAAACTCTGTATTATCTCCAAGATTTTACTGAAGAATTATTTTCTTATTCTCTTTAATGGTTTGAGCAATCTTTCATTCTTACATCTGATAATCTGAGCAAAGTAGTTGAGGATAGCAATATGCAATGTAGTAACCACTGTTGATATATATTAATTTGTCTTGAGACCCTGTATCACTTTGAATGTTTTTGCTTTGATTTGTTTGTGTCCATGATACTGGTATGCTGCTAGTGTTCTATTTGTTCATTTGTTTGTTTCTCGTGTACTACTCTCTTCAAAATAATATACATATATATATATGAATAGTTGCAATAACTGTATTGCTGATGTCTGATGGTGTATTGAAATGAACAGTTACTGATTACAATTTTTAATGTTCTGATTGTGCATGCTTGTGTCTGGTGGTCTGAGCAACTGATCTGAAGGTAATGATATGCAATGGAATTACGTGAACTCCTACCATCTTGTCTAGTGAAACTCTGTATTATCTCTATTATTTTATCAAAGAATTATTTTCTTATTCCCTATAATGGTTTGAGCAATCTTTCATTCTTACATCTGGTAATCTGAGCAATGTAGTTGAGGATAGTGATATGTAATGTAACAACCACTGTTAATTCATATTGTTTTGTCTTGAGACTCTGTATCACTTTGAATGTTCTTGCTTTGATTTGTTTATGTTTGTGATACTGGTATGCTGCTACTGTTCTATTTCTTTGTTTCTCATTTACTACTCTCTCTAAAATTAAAAAAATAAAGAAAATTTTAAAAAATAAACTTACTAAAAAAAATTCTGAAGGAAAGGATAAGTCAAAAAAGGGAATGACAAAAAAATTATATTTTATGAGATGGAATTTACCACACAAAATTAAAGTTTATGGATAAGTCCATATATGCTAGTGGCTAATCAATTTTCCTGTCATTACTTTTCAGCCCCTGAGTTTTGAAAGTAAGAAAAGCTACACATTAAAGGTGGAAGGAGCCAATCCTCATCTAGAGATGCGTTTTCTAAACCTGGGCCCATTTCAGGACATGACAACAGTACACATCAGTGTGGAGGACGTGGATGAGCCCCCTGTATTTGAACCTGACTTTTATTTTGTGGAGGTGCCTGAGGATGTGGCAATTGGAACAACTATACAGATCATTTCTGCTAAGGATCCAGATGTGACCAACAACTCAATCAGGTTTTTCCACAGATTTCACCCTTTCCTATATCCTGGAATTTTCTTTTTCCCTTCCCTTTTGTGTGATTTTCTAGCACATTTTCCTTTGCTTCTTTTTATGTCCCATCCTTGGAAGCCCTCTGAATTTTTTTTCTGTTTAAATAATCATGGCCTTGTCATATTATTTAGAAATGAAGTGCCTTTATATCTGTAACTCACTTTCACTTGGTATAAACATACATATATGCATACTTCTTAGGTCTCAAACATGGTCCTATTGACATTTGGGGCTATACAACTCTGTTACTGTGGAAGGTTGTCTTGCGCATTCAATACTGTATAATGGTATCTCTGGCCTTTGCCCACTAAATGTCAATAGCACTCTCTTAACAACATAAAATATCCCAGACATTGCCAAATGTCCCGAGAAGTTGGTATAAAATTATCCCTAGTGGAGAAAAACCAACTCCAATAAGGCATAGTTAGACACACAAATGCCAAAATGTTTAAAACTATTAACTGTTAGTGTTAAATATAAAGGCAATCATTGCACATTCTTTCACATTTATGAAGCTTTGACATTTTTCCCTTTCCTAACATACATCTTATATATTTCCACATATGACAAAAAGAGACTATTCCTGATGTCAGTGGCTTTGATGCCATGCAGATTGGCCAGAAAGGGCTCTATATTGCAGTCTCACATATCTGTCTCTCTAAAGTATGATTTGAAATTAAAAACCAACCAATATGCTCTCCCCTCAAGAGAGGAGAACTGGTCTTTCAACTATAGCCATTTCCCATCATTTCTGCCGCCAAAGTACAAACAGCTGGTAGACAGGTTGACGCCTCAACCTTCCAGAGCAACTGCCAAGCCTCTGAAGCTTGACACAAAAGATCAGGATTCAAGGCTGTTTGAGGCCATCTGTCACATTAACTGTTGAAAGCCACACAGTAAAATGGATCTGGGGCACTAGTGCAGATAACACATTTTAAACACACTCTAATTTATCAAATGCCTTTTCTGTTAGCTGGCTACTTCCCTTACCTGGTGCTGCTTTGCATTTAGTAAAAATGTGCTTTGCAAGTGAGTAACAGCACTGGCACAAATCTGCTTCCTCTAGCCAACCAGCAAACGTTTTACATGTTCACGAATTAAAATGACTCTGTTTTAATTATTTTAATTTTCTGGAGACAACTAATCTATTACGAGTCATAACAACTTTATAAAAATGATCTTCAACCTTAAGTTTCTCAAATGTTAAATTGAATGAGAAGTGAAACCATATTATCCCCCAGAAAATCATATTGAAATGAAAGCAGAATTCTATTGAAAATCTGTATTTTAAGAAATACAGATATATTTTATGATCATAATTAATTATACCCTAATCTATTTTAATCTACTCATATCAAAGAAAATACCACGTGAAGACTTTAAAGAACAGAACTTTATGGCAGAATCAAAATAAACACAAACTTGAAAAAATCAGATCCTATTTCCAAAATAGTCAGGATATCTGGTGATATTCTCACATCTGCTTTCCAGATTTTGACTCTGGACTCCTATATTTAAATAAGCACTACTGATAGCATTCACACTACTGAATTAGAAACAAGCAAAAGAGAATGAGTCAGGCAACACAGATGCAGGCTCATATGCATGCACACACACACACACACACACACAGATCCCTAGAGTATATGTCAAGACATATCTAGAAATCAAACAGACACACAAGTTGTTCTAGATCCACTACTGGATAAAGGGGAGTGAGGCAGACAAAAGAAAAAAACCTGCTTGGCTAACAGAAAATGCTGCTTCAGATGATGGACTGACTGAAAACTGTCAGCTGGCAAAGAAGGAGCTCAATAAAGAAGATCCTAGCTCTCATTGGTTTTTTATTTTAAAAATTAGTTTTAAAATAATGTGTATATGTTGCATGCTACATGGTTAATTACTCTTCTGCATTTTTGTTACCAAAAAATGGAGATTTATATTAAAATCACAAAAAATTAACATACTACCTAGAATTAAAATGGTATGAATTAAAGATCATTTAACATTTTCAAAGGATTATTAGGATTTTTATAACCTCTTTTTCTAGAAAGTGGATGATTTTTCAGCCATATAAGCTGGTCATCATTTACTGATTAGTCCCAGAACAATGTATCCAGATATAGTAAAATGTACATTAAAAAATACAGTGCTTATACCCCATGCATTTTTAATAAATACTCAAGGACATACTGGTAAACAGAATACATTGAACAATCTGGCACCTGAAATAGGCTTCCACTGGTGTGGAAACAGCCTGCTCTCCTGACCTGTCCTAGAATATGTGGATTTAGAAAGCCTGCTTGTAACACCCTCCTCCACATTCATCCAAATTCAGAGAATGTCCTCACCCAAGCAAACAGGCAGAGAACCCAATGAACACCAGCTCCTGTTTGCTTAAGGCAGTTACACATGTGTGTTATGCCTATTTTGCTCATAGTAGGTGAGAATATTACAAAGAGAGAAAGGAAAATTACCTACAAATTCACTAGTGTTTCCCAAGTTCCTCATTTTCCATCTGTACCTATACCTTTAATTTGTTTTCCTGCCTCCTAGAAATTGGCCCAACGCCCCATTCAGAAATGAAGGCCATTATTCCCTCAATGCAGGCCTGATTTGGGAAAGTGGAGAGGAATTCTATTTGATGAGGAAGGCTTCCTGAGGCAAGCTCCTGCTGTGTCAACTAGGCAGTGTTGTCAGGGGTCCTGTCATTTAGTTATTTCTATCACTTCATCTCCCATGCCATCTGTGACATTTACTATAGTGTTGTCTGTTGGAGTGTAGAAAGCTGATTCCTCATAGGTTGTTCTCCTCTCAGCATTATGCCCACAGCTTGGAGAACTGCCATAAGGGTTATAGATCTACGTATCAAATGCTAGGCTTTACTCATGTGTGAGGAACTAAAAGATAAAGACTGTCAAGAGACAACTAGCATTTTTTTTCCTAAAAGAAAATTCAATTCTTAAAACAGCTAGTAAACTTTAAAACTAAATAAAAAATTAGGCTTTAGTTCATTTTAAATGTATTTGTAGGTATGTGGTTTTTTACTAAAAAGTCAATTATTTGCTACCATGACTTATCTTATAGAAGTTCTGCTTTCTTAGAAAATCTCATACAATCCAATTCTGTGTGAGCAGTGCTTGGCATATGATAAATGTTCATGAAATCACAGGCACAAACAGGCGTTAATTTGGTTCTTTAAATTTCCTACTAGGGAATCATAACTGCACTTACTCAAAATTCCTAGCCCTCACTCATCAGCTACTTCTTAAATTCCCAATTTTCCACATAGCTGTCTTGAATTTCTTCCATATATATTCAAAATAAAACATTTTACCAACTGATATACATATTTATATATACTCCAGAATTATATATGAAACAAAAATTACACATGAATATTCTTGTTGCAAATTATTTTCTGGCATGTGTACAGTCTATTCTATTTCATTTTCTTTTAATACTGGTCATAACCTACTGTCATAGTCACTTTCTCATCACTGAGATACTATACCCAACACCCCTCACAACTTAAACGGGAGTTTTACTTTGACTCAAAGTTACAATCCATGGTTGGACGGCTCCAAGACAGAGGCAGTAGATGAGAGGTGCACAGCAGAGAAAAAGCTGTTCATGTCATGATGGCCAGGAAACAGAGACAGAAGCAAGGAGCCAGGAAGTGAGATATACTCTTCCAGGTCATACCTCCAAAGATCTGCCTCTTCTGACTCAGACCCTACTTCCTAAGAGCAAGTCAGCTTGCCCCCATATTACCCCGTAATTCAATTAACTTCCAAAAACCTTGCCTACGAGTGCGTAAGGGCTTTGGGGTACAGTCGCCATCTAAACTATAACACCTACCATATGGACTTTACAACCCATTAACTTTCAGTTTCAAAAACAATTCAGTGCCATAAAGATAAACTTGAGTCATTTGTAGAAAAATGGATGCACCTTGATAGCATAATAAGAGAAATAAATCAGACACACAAGCTTAAATATCATATTTTCTCTTATATGAGAAACACAATATTGGGGCTGGGGATTTAGCTCAGTGGCAAAGCGCCTGCCTGGCAAGCGCAAGGTCGTGAGTTCGGTTCCTGGTACCGGAGAAAAAACAAAAAACAAACAAACAAACAAAAAGACCAGCCTGAACTGTATAGCAAGACCATGTCTCAAAAAGATTAAAAAGAGAAACACAAATTACATATAAAAAAGGAAGTATTAGTTCTCAATGGGAAGGAGATCAGGAGATAGAGGGAGAGGAAAGGGGAGGGAAAGGGATCTAAAAAGGGATTAAGATGTGTTACCTGCATGTACCAACTTCAAACAAGGAATGTAAACATTATATACTGCAAACATGTTAGTAATTTTAAAATGTTACAAATAAATAAAAATTTTCAAAAAAGAACATTAATACCAACAAAATTTCCATTTCTCCATCTCAATAACTTTTTAGATAGAAACTACAAATGCAACCAAGTCTGGTGGCACATACCTGTAATCCTGTCACAGGGCAGACTGAGGCAGAAGGATCACTAGGAATTTAAGGCAAACCTGGACTACATAATGAGTTTAAGACCAACCAAAAGTATATAATGAGACCCTGTCGTAAAAAACAAATAAGTTTCAAATGCTAGCAGCTTTAAATAGAATTTTAAACCCAATATATTCTCTGGCTTTTATTTAAAAAATTTAAGATCACAATAGTTATAGTTCCATGTACTACATATGGTTCCAAATCTTACTTCTACAAATTATTTGTGTAACTTTTTAAAAGTGACTTAATTTTTCTGAGCTTCAGTTTCCTTATCTGATTATTAGAATAATTTCTCAGACATATTATGAGTATTTACAAGAAGTTACATATCAATTATATGGTAAAATGCTGGTTATTCAATAAATAACAGCTATTATAATTACTGACCTTTTAAAAACAGAATTCCTGGGGCTGGGGATTTAGCTCAGCGGCATAGCAACTGCCTGGCAAGCGCCAGATCATGAGTTTGATTCCCAGTACTGGAAAACCCACCCCCGCCAAAAAAAAACCAGAATTCCTTACATATTTTGAATATTAGCTCCTTATTCAATGTATGATGTGCAGTATTTTCTCGCAGTCTTTGGGTTTTCTCTTCACTGTGCTGTCCCAAAGCATTTTAGCTTGATAAATCCTGTCTCTTTTTACTCTTCCTACCTCTGTGCTTTTAGGGTCATATCCAGGAAAATATTGCCTGGAGCAGTGCCACACAGATCTTATATCTACACAAATCTTTAATTCATTTGAGTTGGTTCTTGTGTAAGGGGTCAGGTGAAGGTACCATTTCATCCTGCATGTAGATAGCCAGTTGTTCCAATATTGTTTATTGAAGAGAGACTGTCCTTTCCCCATTATTCTTGTTACCTTTCTCAAAAATCAATTAACTGACCATAGAGTGTAGTTTTACTTCTAGGCACTCTGTCCTATTCCACTGGTTGGTATTTCTGGGGGTTTTATTCTGTTTTTTGACAGTACTATGTTACTTTTATGATGTATTTTGCAGTTTAAATAATCTTATTAAAAAAGAGCAAAGTACTTGAAAAGATATTTTTCAAAACAAGAAATACAAGCGCCCTATAGATACATGAATATTCAAAAAATGCAATATTCATGACTTATCAGAAGGAAATAAAACTTAAAACCACAATGAGATATCATCTCACATGAGCCTTCCTCCTTATTTATTTAATCTTTCAAGATGGGGACCAGGTGGGATGATACAAATAAGAAAACACAAAAGTATCAGAATGCCAAATCAGATTCAACAGGAATTATAGATCTAACTCAGTAACAACTTCACTAATGACATAAAAGATACAGATAATAGCAAAAGAGTCAAGCATTCTTCCTTTGCAGATGTCCAAAACTCTCAGGCATAGGTAAGAGTAAATAACCTTTTCTTGCTTAAAGATGCATATTGGTCCAGACTGTATGTGAAAGTAGGAAAATCACATCTTAGCAGAAAAAGCTATTTTTGTTATGGAACATCTGTTTATTATATTCTACTCATTACACAGCTAATTTGACATTTTCCAGGAGGCTGTAGCCCCACAAATGCGTAAACTTCATGTGTAGTGACAATAAACAACCCAGATAGACCAAGTCTGTCTTGCTAAAAGCATTCTGTAGATAAGGACTCCTCAGCTAGTAAATACCATTGTTATATTTTTCAGGAGGTGAATTATTAGCATGCTCACAAAGGGCTTGGTGCAAGAGTTTCCCTCCCAACATGTGAGACTAATTACAAGAGTTAATGGTAACTCTTCCTTTTATCCGATGCACTTGAATTCTGAACAATTGTAAAGTTGATATTCAGGGTGTCCAAAATTATTAGGGCAATTTTAAGATTTAAATAATATAAATTGATCCTTCAATAGTTTAAAGCTGCCCTAAGATTCTTGGCACCCTGTTTATTTCCATTTTTTCAATGAGAAAATTGAAGTAGTGTTTTTTTGGTTTGAGTTTTGTTTTTGAGTATGATAAAACCACAGTTTTCCAGGTTTTCATACTTCAAAGCCAGTCACTATGACACATAAATGCATGCAGTTCTCTCACATAGTATGTTGGTGTATGTTTCTCCAAATTATGTATAATGTCATTGCAGATACTCCATTGACAGAAGCAGTGACCCTGGAAGATTTTTCTATGTTGACATAACAACAGGTGCCCTAATGACTGCAAGACCCCTAGACCGGGAAGAATTTTCTCGGCATAATATCACTGTGCTTGCTATGGAAATGAGTAAGTAAAACAATAAACTGGCCTCTATACAGTGGCAAAGTAGATGTGGAGAAAGTGGAAGTTTCTAGACCTTCTAACAAAAACATATTAAGAGAAGAAAATCTATTTAAAGTTTATGCAAATAAGTAAATCATTCAATTAAAATACTTTTTGAATGTGTACTGTACAGATAATATACTAAGATAGAAGTAAAAACAAAAACAGCAAGGCAGAAAAGATAGCAATCTTACCTCAAGAAGCTATGAGGAAAAAGAAAGATTCCTAAGAAATCTAAGAGGCTCTCAATTTTTATGACTGCAAATGTACAAATAGTAAAAATTTTTTATGAAATGAAGCATCAATAATATATTACTTATCACACACACAAATGCTGATAAGAATTTGAAACATCTTACAATAAAAGATAGTTTATTAGTATTAGCTTGCTTCCCATTACTTGGACAACATCCATAACTTAAAAGAAGAGAGGTTTAATTGGAGTCATGGTTTGGGGATTCAGTCCATGTTCAGCTGGTTTCAAAGCAGAAATTTTATAGTGGAAGTCACAACAATGACCCCACACCTGGCAACAATTCTCTGTATTAGCCAACTTTGCTGTTACTGGAGCACAGTACCTGACACCTACAATTTTAAGGAGAAGAGGTTTAATTTGGCTCATGGTCCAGAGAATTCTATTAAAGTAGAAGGGCATGGTTGAGGAAAACTGCGTAATTCATGGCACCTAGGAAGCAGACAACAAAAGAAGGGAAGAGTTAGAAGAATGCACCCTTTTAGGTCACATACCCAGTGATCCACCTCTTCCACCAGCACCCACATCAGAGCATGAGTCCCTGGGGATACATTTCAGATCTAAATTACAACAGCAGATTTCTTAATGTAACATGTCTACAAATGGAATAGAAAATTAATAAAAAATACATAAAGAGATATGTGTAAAATTTAACAAATGGGCATAGGATATAACTCAGAGGCAGAGCCCTTGAAAATGCACAAAGCCCTGGCTTTAACCCCCTGCACTGCCAAAGAATAAAAGCTAGACTGTATGTTACTATGTTCAATTTCTTTCCATAATACCTAGGGATGGTAAAGGCTCATGAAGATAGCAGTTCCTAACCTACTGACTCTATAAATAGGCACAGCTATTAGAGAATGCAATTTAGCAATATGAAATCTTCAAAACAGTAATCATACTCTTTTTACCAGGTATTCTGCTAGCAACTATCTTAATGAAATACAGATGTTACCAAAAATTTTTTCTGATAAAATATAGACTGCAGTATTATTTTTAAATAGGAGAAATGAGAATTATCTAAGTGACTAATAATTAAAAGAGTTGACTAAATTATGGTAAACCTATAGCAAATTGAGACTGTCATGCCTGTTCTCAAAATATACTCAAGAACAGAATAATTTTGCCCTAGAATTATTGTGAGTCCAAATTTTATTTTGTTTTATTTCAATTTGTGTGCGTGAGTGTGTGTGTAAGTAGTTCCAGATTTGAGGACATATATAGAATGTTATACATATAATGATACTTCTATTGATAAGATTATAGACCATATTTATCCTCATATTTTTTCTGGAACTTTACTCCTTTTATAAACAAGCACCAGTTATAATGAAAGCATAATTCTATGTTGATGCTTTCTGGTAACCAAGCAGTGAAAGTATTTTGAGAAAAAAACACAAAACAGAGATGTTTTTGGGAAAGAAAAACTGAACCAGCAAACAATGCATTCTGAGATTTGGTAAAATTGTTATTATTAAAAATTTTTTCTGTGTGTTATAACTTTTGTTTTGACTCCTTTTGGTAGTGATAAAAACAGAAAAAGACAGGGACAGCACCACTGGGACTCTGAAATTGTCCTTGTGTGGCAGGGCCAAGCAAAAGACACGGACCAAAAAGACAAGTTTCCCCATGAATGCTTATGGCTCTTTCCCCAGCCAAAGATACGCATTTGGTGTGGGTCTGATCCTGCAATATCTTTTTAGCCCCTAAGCAGAAATGAATGTGCAGTATTATCTGTATTCCAGTGAATAACTTGAAACCCTTCTGAAATATAATTCAAAGAACTGATTATTCAAGAGGAATAAAGCCAAGCAGTGCCACACAGCATGCATTCTATTAGAAATGGGCTGTTTTAAAGCCCAGAATACAGAATTAACCTGCCTTTAATTCCAGAACCCAAAGTATGAGCCAAGCAAGAGTATCAAAACCTCTTTTTAAGATTCCATTTGTGACACTGGCTTCCCTCTTCGTACTTTTAATGTAAAACATACCCCCAGTAGACACCTCCTCCTATCCAAGTTTCTGTGTCTGGCCATACTTTTAACAAGCACACATACCATGTACTTTATTGCCTTAAAAACAGCCTGATCAGATAAATACCTACTTTCAGAAAAGAGGTACATTTCTGCAATACTGAATGCTCACCTTTACTTCTCCTTGTGTTCTCTTTAGACAACCCCTCCCAGGTGGGAAGTGTTTCTGTCACAATTGAAGTCTTAGACGTGAATGACAATGCTCCAGAGTTCCCCAGATTCTATGAAGCTTTTGTTTGTGAGAATGCCAAAGCTGGGCAGGTAAGGCAGCCCGTGAGTTGGGCACCTTGGTAAATTCCCAACAGGTGGAAGCAAAAGTTACAGATAACCAAATTTGCTTTCAAAGACATTTCCACTTCAGAAAGTAAGTTTACAAAAGAGCCCTCAACTTTTGTGCATCAGTTTTCAACAGTTTGTTTAGACAACTATTTGGAGCCTCTATTACATGTTATGATCTAAACAGGGCTTTGATGGTGGCTTGATTCACAGGGTAGCCTGTTAAGGTATCTGCCCACCTTGAAAGCAAATCATATTACTTTCAACTATAAAATATATGCTGTGGGTCCAGAAGGGAGGCATCATACAACTCCAGAATAGACAGTCATCTGCTTTCTTGAGCATCAATACCTGAAAAATTACGCAGTAGGAAAATTCTATTTTCAGTATCTTCCCAACTCTCTTTTTTAACTTCTGGCAGGGAGAACATTGCTCAGGACCTGTGTACCCTATTCTTGGAATGATTCATTACATAGAATTATGTACTCTGTCTTTGCACTCAGTTTAAACTCTCATTTTCTTAGTGCTATTCATGTTAGGTGAGTTTTGAGTAGAAAGTAATCTGAGGAAGCATAAAGTTCTACTTATGTAAGATAACTCTAGTTCTATAAGGCATACTTTTCAATCTATGTGAATATTTGGTTTATCAATTTCCAGTGATATAAGTGAGAAACATACAGAATTTTATTTGTACTGGCTGTGTATTAATATATATGTTGGGTCTTTCCCACTCTATAAATGGCCCTTCTGCACCCCTCTCTTTTCCTGATTTTGTAAGATAGTTTCCTCTTCTACCTTTGACCCAACAGACTTCAAAGAGTCCTAATGTACATCCTATTGTCCTACGGGTTCTGCTTTGGAAAATGGGTTGGAATCATTTTAATATGAAGGTTGGGGATTTGGTAAGAGTACATTTGTAAGGCAAGGAATCCTGCTTTGGTAATTTCATTTTAACTATAATGTAGCTTTGTTTTCATTTCTCTCACTCACCCGGAACACTACCACCCAGCATCTTGCTACACAAAGAGACTCTGCGGTCAACTCTTATATTATGTCCCTAAGTTCCCTAAAGATTTACCCAATACATTGTTACCATTCTACTCAGTCAAAGCAAAAACTGATTCCAATCCCTCTGTGGAAACAAAATGTCCTGCAGTGATTCCAATCTAAACTGCTCTCATTCAGTGATTCATGAAATTTGGTACAATGGTCTACAGCCCTCCTAAAAAATATTTTTGTTCCAAAATGAGGATAATTCTGCTTCCATATCTATTAAATTTCTATTCTAGGAAGGCCTAAAATACTATGCTGCTAATAAAAGTTACAATGAAAACTTTATACCACAAGAAATGATCCATGTTATTATTATAAGAAAATTATAAAAACTACATATACATACTCGTAATTTTGTAAAATTACGTCTACATGTGAATACTGATTGAGGAAAAATGCAAAAATAGCACAGTTATGGTAGAACAGTTTTGAGTGTGGGTATTTGGGCCTCTGTTTTAATGTTTGTTACATATAATAATTATATGTATTATAGTATAAACTTTCTTATAAAAACATCACATGAAAAGTACATTTTATATAATGAGAAAAGAGGTTAATTTGATCTATAAGAAGTAGCACAGGAAAGTAAGACCTCTCTTCCCCCAGGCCTAAGTGCTCCCTTCTTACAGGGCTCTGGAAGAGAAGTTGTACTGTGATAGGCTGAAAGCACCTATACCATCTCCTCTGTTTTTGGAACCAAATATACCCTCCATTTTTAGGAACATTTCTACTGGTCTATTATGCAGTGCTTTGAAGTGCAGATTTCCTATGATTTTGGGCTCAAATCCTGAGGCAGCTATCTGTCACATTTGTCAGCTTTATCCCAGAATACTGAAAATCCCAACCTTGGATTTGGGCCCTGGGCAATGTTTTGAAGATTTTTCAAAAGGATACAGTTCAAGGAAGTACATCTGGTTTAAGAACAAATGGGTGTCCTTGCCTTTACTGCCAAACACTGTCATCAGTTTCACATCTCCCAAGCCTCCATACGTGCTTTCCCCTTAGCCTCAGCAAGCATCCATGAATGAAGCCCATGGAGAAGTGAGATGCATACTGGGTGATGGCAGAGGGCAGAATGGAAGTGGCTGAGCAGGACACAGAATGACAGCTGAGGCTAAGGAAGAAATCTGACCTGCCAGGAGAATGGAGAACAGGCCATGGTGTTTCCATGCAGCAGTGTTCACTCACCACTCTCTAGTTTCTTACCCAACCTCATGCTTGAGGCACCGAAACATGCACAGTTCTCAGGTTAGATGTTCTAAAATGACTGTTCTATCTACATAATCATCTATTTATAACATTTCTCAAGGAACATGTTACCTCTTTAAATAACATCTGGCAAACAAGATAAAAAGTACAGATTTTGTCCCTAGATCAGGATAAAGGAGAGTGCAACCCCTGCTTGTCAGCAGGACTGACACAAGGCTACACTGTGGGTGAGTGTATCTGTACTACTTTCCTGAATTTAAGGCCAACTCCATTTCCTCTCCTTTCAGATTCAACATCAGGTTCTCTAGCAAGCATTCTCTGAGACACAGTTCTGGTATGAGGCTCTGGTACAGGAAAGGAAGGGAAACTGAGCAAAAGAAGCTCAGCTGTGACAGAGACCCACTAAAAGCCCACAGAGGGTTATAGAACAAGAGATTTCACAAATTCAGATGAAATGGCCAGGCCGCTGTACACCACATCATTTAGTCACTGGACACAGATTGCTCTAGAAGGACAAAGTGACCACGGGTCAGGTTGCCATCCACAACAGAGACAGCCCTAAGGAAGACGGTCCCTAAAGAAACCACTGAAGGCTGGGTCAAGTCCTTTACTAAAGGCTGGGACAGGGTCTTCACTGTGAAATCAACCCAGTGTAAGAGGTCCCTTGCTGAAAGCTCCCCTAATTTCCAATATATTGTGAGGGAAGCTTTGCATCCTTAATTCACAGCCCACCTGAACCCTCATAACAACCTCTGATATTCCCATTTCTATCCCCATAGAAGCAAGACCAGCCTTTTAACAACAGAAGTAGCAATTGTATAAGTTGAAGCAGAGTGGGAGTCATCTATGCTATCAGTTGGTAGAGCAGTAAACACATGAGGAAACTGCTTGATCAAAACCTCTCTATATCCTCCCAACCCACCCACTGATACTCCAATTATCTGTTTCACAGTGCTTTAATAGCTTTTCCTCACAGTCTGTACAGTTTTCACAGAAACTTACACTGTGGAAAGACCAAAGAGCTAAAGAAAAAGGCATCTCACTTCTTGCTCTTTCCACCACCAAGCTTTGCTTCTAACTCTAGTCCATTTGTACCCTAGGGGTCTTGTACTCTACACACCTTTTCTAGCTCCCCTCCTGTCAACAAAATGTAACTGCACCATGTTCCAGCCCCTCACCTCTGCTTTCCATTAACTACCACAGCCAATGCTGATGTGTCTGCTTATTTCTCTCTTAGGTGGTGATCATTCTTAAGCCAGGGATTTTTAAAGATAGTGATTTAACCCTGAAATATTCACCCAGTAGTTTTAAGTAAATTGGGAGAGAGGAGGAGAATGTAGGATAAGCATAACTTGTGACACCCCAGAATCCCTTACTCAAGGTTTTATATTTATAGTGCCTAAAAATGACTAGCTATGGTTTGGGACTGTAGTTATACTGATGTCTAACATGAGGTATTTAGGTAACATTTATCCTATGCCCATTAACATAGGTCCAACAATAAACCAAAATTTATTTGGAATTGTGTGATATCATGGAGACTTTCCAGGTAAGCATCATGCCATATTTACTAGGAAAAACAACCTGTTGTTGGATTTAAAGGCTTGGGATTTCACTGCGCCCTAAAATTTTTTTGACTCAAGCTCACCTGATTTCAAATCCTTCCTGCAGCTGATCCAGACAGTGAGTGCTGTGGACCAAGATGACCCACACAATGGTCAACATTTCTACTACAGCTTGGCTCCTGAAGCTGCTAACAACCCCAACTTCACTGTAAGGGACAACCAAGGTAATTAGATGGACAAGAGGCTACCTGTGCTTTTCCGCAGCATAGAATAGATACTTTTGGTGACTGCATCATAGGAACAGTGTCAAAGTTTGCCTGCTCTTTAATAGCAGGAAGGACATTAATGTTAATCCTAGTCTTTTTAAAGTTTTGTTTCAGAACATCAAAGACAAAGAGTGCCCTCTGCTGACTCAGTTGACAAATGTTTATAGTTACTTGCTCTATGCCAAACACTCTTCAAAGCACAGAAGCAAAATCTTTCCTTTATTCCTACAGATAGTGCTCATGTTTAAATATTCTATAATATTGGAAATAACCTGAGAACAATGATAGAAACTGACCTAAATAAGACAAAAATCTGATGCAACATTTCTAATCAAAATATCAAAGGAGGAAATAGTGAAGAGTTCTCAGAACAAAAGGGCAAAAGCTAAATAACAGAAGTAGCAAAGGGAAAATATAGGAATACCAAGAGCTGTTTTGGCATTGAAACAACTTTAAAGAGATATACCCAGTTGGGACTGCTATTGCAGAAAGTGCTCCCTGACTATATCTTTTCAGAAATTGGAATAATAGGCCTGTCTTTTCCAACAAGCATTCAGATCAGTAAAGGCTGTCCAAGCACACTGTTCTCTGGACACAGGTGGGAAAAAAAGAGGAACTTTTCTATGTGGCCAGATGACTTGCTTCAAACAAAGGTCAGAGCAACTGAAAAAGTCATTTGAATTTGCCAAATGATACACTTCTGCTAATTCCGCTACCAACTAGCCATCTGACGTTGGGAGGTCATCACTTCTCTAGGCTGAAGTGACCTCATTTTCATTCCAATTCAAAAATAGTAATTGTAATTCCCTAACAACCTGAACAAAGGGTATTAAACAGTTGTGATGAAATTTAAGATACCAATGCAACCCAATATATTCTGCTATAAAATCTGAGACTCTCAAATCTTTTTTCTTCTAAATGGAAACTATTCTTCAGCTTTGTACATAGTATCATAAAATCATTATGATTACTTCTGGGAGGAAGGATAATATGAATCACCACAACAAAAATATCACAAATAAGTATCCTAAGACTTCGGGCTCACTCTTCTGAACTATTCATTATCTGTTTCATAGGGAAATGCTTTCCACAAAAAGTGGTTTCAGTCTCTTTCTGGTTAGTTTTACAAAAGAAATTCCATAGTGAGAGTGATAACATATTATGCTCTTTCTTCACATTTTCAGCTGTCATTCTATTTCTTCATTCTCATACTAGCCAAAATCAATACAAAAACAACATGCAGCAAAATGGTGCAAGTTTCTTAAAGATGACTGTGAGCTCAATCCATAAAACCAATCCCTTACAAAGATGGGCAGCAAAAATAAGATAATCAAAAGATATGACTCATCACTTGAAAGAAAGCCCAAAATAGAAGTCAGCACATCCTCAACAAAAAGCATGAACTCTTAATCTCCACATAACTTCTGTAGCCCCTCAAAACATGAGAGTTTTGTGTCATCTCACCTAAGAAACAAATATTCATTGCAAACAGTTTACTAAATTCCTAATTATCACACTCAACAAAAAACTTCCAAAAGGCTAACATATGCTGGTCCTCTCCTAAGACTAAACTCAACGGTATGAAGCTCAGAATTTTTTCTTTACTCTTAAATAATTCTCAGATCCAGAAACATAAGGTTTAGTAGACAAAATATACTGCTTCTATGAAATGCAATTCTAGTCCATCTTTCCTAAAAGCATTATGACCTACTATGGATTAGAGCAAAAATAATTTTAAAATAGATCTGTTTAGAGAAAAACTTGATTTCTGAAAAAAACAGAAACTTAAAACTACAACATAGAATTAATAGTATTTACCTATGATGTCTAGAAAACAAAATGGCAAATGGATGGGTTGCGTGGTAAGTGAATAGATAAATATAATCACAGTAACCAACTGCTACATTTTTCCAGGGAAAAGCAAAGAGGAAAATAGCCTGTACAGAAGAAGGAAGAGATTATAATTATTTGAATAATTTGGCAATTAATGTTACTAAACTAAATAAGCGGTTGCACAGTATAATAAGAGAAGAACATATTTTAGAATCAGTTACCAGAGCTCAAATCCCAGCTCTGCTACCAGCTAGGTTAGTGACTGAACAAATTATACCATCACTTAGGCATTAACTATCTCACTACCTCATCCAATTCTTGTGAAGACCTAATGAGATACTATATTACATGTGAAATGCAAGTAACATTGCCACTCAAGAAACCACCATGAATAAAACAGGGACATAAGGAAGAGGGGAAGGTGATTAGGGGATGATTTCTTGGTCAGAATAGGTTAAGTTATGCTACAGGAACAAACTACCAAAATCTCAGTGAGTTAGTGAAACTAAAGTTAATTTCTTTCTCAAAAAAAAAACCAAACCTCCCTATGCCTCTCAGTGACTCAAAGCATCTGTCTACCATATGCATCTCAGTGTCCCAGGCTTCTAGGCTCTCCATCTCACACATTCTCTCAGTTGCCATAACAATGCAAGAAAGCAGACAATTCTATACCAGCTCTCATGTGCTTCTGCCTGGAAGTGAAATAAAGCAAATTTGCTCTTTTCTTCATCCCTGAAGCAAATCACATACATATGCCCAAATTCAAAAAGACAGAAAAGTATAATCCCTTACTATGTCCAAGAAGAGGAGAGCCATAAATATTTTTTATCTTTTATTAGTACACGCTTGCAGTACAAAATGACCTCATTCATTGTAGGGAACTGCCACATGTACGAAGCACTTTTCAATTCTTTTTCCCCCTTCCCTCTACTCCCTCTGATGCTACCAGCACCAAAGTCATTTACTTATCTTATAAGACCTTGTAAAGTTAATTATATATACAGATTAAATGCCAGATTAATAGGCCCAAAAATATATAAAACACACAAGACAATTGTACTAAGTCAAGCTGCAATTTTAGATACATTGTCCATGCTGGATTATAACTTTTTTTTTCTCTTTTTTCCTATTATTGTCTTTTACTTCATACTTTTTTTATATACGAAGTTTTTCATACAAAAGAAACACGCAATATTTAAGGTTGTGTGTGTGATTTACTTCATTTAACATTATGTCTGAAGGTATATCCATTTTCCTACGAATGACTCAAGTTTATCCTTCTTTAGAGCAAAGTAGTACTCCACTGTATATAATACCACATTTTCTTTATCCAATCATCTGTTGTTGTACATATAGACCATTTACAAGATTTAGCTATTATGAATTGTGCTGCTATAAACATGTGTATTTATACATCACCATGGTATGACAGCTTTAACTTTTTTGGGAAGATACCTAGAAGGATGATAGCTGGGTCAAATGGAATTTCTATTTTTAGTGTTTTTAAGGAATCTCCATCCTGAGTTTCATAGTGGTTGTATCAATTTACACTTCCACCAACAGTGAAAAAAGGTTCCTTTTTTCCCACAGCCTTACCAGCATTTGTTATTGGTTGATTTCTTGATGACAATTTTCTTTCTGGAGTGACACAGAATCTCAGTGTTGTTTAAATTTGCATTTCTTGAGTGACCAGCAATGCTGAACATTTTTGCATGTATTTATTGGCTATTTATATCTCTTCATCTGAACAGTATCTACTCATTTCACATGCCCATTTTTTAATTGGGTCTTTCAATTTGGGGTCTAATATTTTTTAATTTTTGCAGATTCTAATATTAGTCCTTTGTCTCAGGAGTAGCTGGCAAAAATTTTTCCCAGCTATAGTTTTTCTCTTCACTCTGTTGGTTTCTTTCACCCTGCAGCAGCTTTTCATTTGATGTGATCCCATTTGTTGATTCTTTGTATTATTTCTTGTGCAACCAGGGTTTTGTTCAGAAAGTTTGCCTACACCTACATCTTCAAGAGTTTTACATAGTTTGTTGTCCAGAAAATTAAGTGTTTCTGTTCTAATATGTAGCTCTTTGATCTGCTTTTATTTAGTAAGAGATGAGGCTAGTTCCCAGTACCGAAGAAAAACCCAAAAAAAAAAAAAAAGAGATGAGGCTAGTTTCAATCTTTGGTATGGGCCAGTTTTCCCAGCACCATTTGAGAACATACCACTAATGATCACTAAAAATGTCTCTTTTGGTTAGACTCTCATTCAGAGAATCTGTGTTGATGGGATTAGCTTTGAAAGTGACTTCTCACATGTCCTAACACTTCTCTCAAATTGTCCCTCTGATGAATCGATCTGAGCTTTGTAAAAATATATCTGCTTTAGAATTAAAAGCCACTCTAGGAAACTTGAGAACATAGATTTAAAAACTAAAAATCCCCACCCATAACATTAGGCAAATAATTATAAATACACACATGTATACATACATACACACTTCCATGTGAACACACATGCAGATAGCAGCTTGGTAGAAACAGATCTAAACATTCAGCTAAAGGAAAAATAGGTTTAGTATTCTATTACACAGAAGGGTGATTATAGTCAACAATACTGTATAATTCAAAATACCTAGACAATTTTAAATGTTTTCATCACAAAGAAATAGTAAAAGTCTGAAATGTTGAATAACCTGAATATTCAGTGCAATATAGAATGCACTGAAACATCCCACTGTGCCCCATAAAGATGTACATTATCAATTTTTGAAACTTTTAAAAACTGGAGGAAAAAGTAAAGAATATTACTGATTAGGAATAAATTTCACCATGCTCATATTAACTGCTCAAACTTAGACAACTAAGCCAGAAGAAACAATAGTGTATCATATGATTGAGGAATTGCAGATAGGCCTCTACTAAATGAGCAGGTCTTCAAGAAGTTGGTAACTGTAATTCTGAGTCATTAAAAAAAAAAATTGGCAAAAGATATGAGTTCCAGCCAAAGTGGCAAAAATAAGCAATCCGTCACAACCACATGGGTTCTTCAGCATTCTTTTCCTAGAGGCACAAAGCAGTACCAGGGCCTTGACAAGCTACTGAGCAGGAACAAACAGGGACCACAGTCACCAGTGACTGTTCACTTCTGTCAAACCTTCCCAGGCACATTTTGTTAGATCTGAAGGCTGACAGTTTGCCTGGGGCACTTTATGTCAAAAGGGTAAAGCAGATTCTCAAAAAAAAGGGTTTCCTTCCTAAGCCTCAGGGTTTTGCCTAAAAGCAACAAAAAATCTTGTTTTACAAATCCAAATAGTGATCCAGCCAACTTACTGCTGCTACAAATTCAGCTAAAGGAAACCACCTGGGAATGTCAACTGTTCTTCGTATTCCCTATCCCTGCCCTCCTTTTTCGCAATCTAAAAATTAATTCACTTGTTGGTTTTTCCATTATCTTCTCTCATTGTTTTCTTCCCTTCTTTAACCATGGAACCCCTTGCTTCTTCAGATAACACAGCCCGGATTCTCACCAGGAGGTCTGGCTTCCGGCAGCAGGAACAGAGCATATTTTACCTGCCTATTCTGATAGCAGACAGTGGGCAGCCAGTGCTAAGCAGCACAGGCACACTGACCATTCAGGTGTGCAGCTGTGATGATGATGGCCATGTCATGTCCTGCAGCTCCGAGGCCTACATGCTCCCAGTCAGTTTGAGTCGGGGTGCCCTCATCGCCATTCTGGCCTGCATTTTTGTCCTCTTAGGTGAGTAAGTATCTCATTTCCTTTGTGTAGGGCCCTCTTACTCGAACAGCAGTCAGTTATCCCTCTCACACAGCTATTTAGACCTAGTCTATCTATGCCACACTTACTGAAAAGGTAGTATAGGGAGGCTTGGGAAAAAGTATAAAAATTAAAGACAGTCTCTTTCTTCAAGGCCTTTTCAGCAAGATTAAAACACATGTATTCACCAAGCATCTACAATAGGTCACAAAACCATGCTAGGTGCTTGGATTAATAAGAAAGACATGACCTGGACTTCACAGAGTTTACTGCACAATGAAATAACTTCATTTTGACCTCACAGAATCAAAATAACAATTTTGGAGATTATATGATGAGCACTTCCTCTAATTCCTTCCTTTCAGATCAAAAACAGCTAAAACACAGAGGTTAGTGACACACAGGTTCAAAGCCAAATGTCAGAGACAGATTCAAGATTGAAATGCAAGCCGGCCATATACTAGGCACCCTATCTCAGCAGTGCTGCTCTTCTCCTAAACGCTCCTGTACAGATTTTGACGATGCTGTTACACAGAGAGAAAGAGCCACAGGGTATGCATCCTGGAGAGACAGGGCCTCATAAAGGGGAGGTGTCATTTCAAACAATAGAACCATTATTCCCAAAGTATGACTTTTAAGAGCTTAATACCATACTTATTATTTAAATCAAATTATCTAAAAATAAGACATATAGTAAACTTTAAAGGGACAGACCAACTGTATAAAGTCCCTAACTCTTCAGCACCATCAGCATTTCGTCCAGCAGATAATCCAAGGGTGATCATTGAAGGCCTCATAAAAAAGTAGAACTTTTAACAGAAACCTGAATGAAGCAGTAGGGTAGCCACAGATTTGTGGAGAATAAGCTGTTTAGGGGCATTAATGTCCCTCCTAGGTACTGACAGCATCTAACAAAAAGCAGTATCTAAACAAAACCAGTTTGCTTCTGGTAAAACAAAGAGATGATGGAAGGCTGGTGGGAGAGCACTATTAGGGTAGAGAATCCTTTTCTCCTATCAAGTCATACCAAGGCAGTCACCTAACTCCCTTGTACATAAGGCCATTTGTGTAACTGTTTTGTAATTCCACACTCAAAAGTAAATACTTAAATAATCTCTTGGATTCAAGAAAATATCTATATCTACCTATAGATAGATACACCCCACCTCTTCTAACTAAATTAAACCATAGTGCATACATCTTGCTTAAGAAAAGCAAACATAATAGACAACAGTATCATTCAAAGTAAAAGAAATCTCAGCTTTCTATGAGGAAAAAATAAAGCACTGGAGATTTAAATTAAACTACACTTGCAGATATCCATGCACACTCTTGCTCTCTAGTTTTCCTAAATAGACTGAGTCAGACCAGAGAAAGAAATTCTTCCCTGTATAAAATATCAGCATTTAGCTGACTTTCTAGGTGGGCCTGTGGAACAGGCTGCTCAAAATAATTTTAAAATACAACATGTAGTTTAATTTTGTTGTAATAGTTTAGTCTCACATGAAGCAGCAAAAATAAGTAAGCTTTCTAAGTCCCTGGATTCCTAGATGAAAAAGAATTGTTATGGTTTCTGATCCATGAGAATTGTTATGATTTGTCCATGACAAACCAAACTTTCTGCAATTTCTTAAAGTGTCCATAAGGTGGCATTGGGAGTCCTTAAGAGCAAAACAGAAGCCTTTGAAGAAACTTGCTTCCAGGAGAAATTTCCAGACTAGCCGTCCTTAATTCTATCTTTGGAAAATTTTGTGAGCTCACCCTGGCCCACAAAGAGCCCATCACTGCAGACAGACTGATTTAAAGAGACTGACTCAGAGGAGCTATCTAGTTAGAAGTAGTGTGAAAGGGAAGTTTATTTCATCCCTCCCCAACTCATTATGTGTTGTCTTTTGAACTGTATAGAGTAAGTAAACAGTTTTCAGGAGCTAAATTAAACGTACGTGTCACAAAATCCTCTGTTTTATGTATCCTTATTCCTATATTAAACACAATTACTATAACTGTGTAAGAGTTTAGTTGCAGCTCATGTGTCAACAAAACACTACATTTTTTGTGAACAATTAAACAAATTCACTCTGACAATTTCAACAGGGTAGTGCTTTTTATATCTTGTAGATATATCCAGTTCTTTTGGTATCATACACTAGGCCTATAATACCTAAAGAATAAACATCCTTAGAACCAATTCTCTTCTGTCATACAATCAAGGAAGCCTTTCAGCAGAATAGGACCATTTTTTCTAAAGCATGACTTTTAAGAGCATAATGTAATACTTATTATTAAACTAAGTTATCTAAAAATAAGATATACAATAATCTTTATTTCTTAAGAGACAGACCAATTTTATAAAATGCCTACCATCAGCATTTTCTCCAGCAGATAATCAAACACTGTGTTTTCCCACGTTGCCCAACCTGGCCTCAATCTTGTAGGCTCAAGTGATCCTCCTACCTCAGCCTCCCTGACAACTGGAACAAAGAGTCTACGCCACCCAACCCAACTACTCAAAGATTTTTCTTTGTTTCCTAGTATCTTAAAATACCATCACTGCCACTCCAAGGTCACCTGAATCCCTGTCCACTCCAGCAGGCAGAGTTCACCGACTCTGCCTCTGTACTCCACTGACAACACTTGTGATCCCATCATATAACTATTATGCTCTGAGTTATATTAACCATTTGAGTATTTAATCACCTTATATTGAAAGTTCATAAGAACACATAATGTCATAATATTATTTCCCCACTGTTTAGCGCAGAACATAAAATTTATTTGGGTTTAGTAGTAACCGTTTACTGAATCCCACAAATACAGCATGTTCACTTAGAATCCCAATTCTCCATCCTGTCTTCAGTCCAAGTGACACTCCAGCCTTTGATGCTCAAGTTTAACCCTCCACTTCCTTAAGTCTTATTAGTCTCCTTCCCTGAAATCCATAGGTCCCACAGTCCATGCCTCATCTTTTATACATACAGAACATACACAAGAGTATATAATTATCTGTGTGTGCATTTTGTCACTCAAGCTAGTCACAAAATTTTAGGTGTTAACATTATTAATTGCAACTTATACAAAAAGGTCCACCTATATCTAAATACTTTAAAAATCATAGCTGAGTGTTTTTAGACTGTAATCTCTAATTGCACATGACTGTACTGCATTTTTTCCCTTGAATAAACTGGGGTCTTATTTTTGCAGTGCTGTCAAACTGTCACTGTTCACCAGCTGTAACAAAGCACACCAGAAAAAAAAATCAATAGCAGTTCTACAGCTAAAACCTCAACACACTTCCTGGAAAACGTTTTCAGTCACAGAGATAAACAGCTCAATGGGATTATCTCTATCTCTCCTTTAAACCCCAGTGAACATATCCTGGGGAAAAAAAATGCATTTGTTGGAATAAATTTTTACCCAAACCTGCAAGGGCACATCTACCAGTGTGGTGCTTCTTTGATAACACAATGAATTATATAAAATGTCACTGCTCATTCCCTTCCCTCCATGAGAGCCATTGGATGCAGAGCGCCACAATCACTGCTCTCATAAAAGGCTTTGCTGAGGCATCTGAGGTTACTGGATCTGAACTCATTTATGGTCTTAGTTTTGGAAGAGGTATAAAAGACAATGACGGTAGTTCACTTAGCTTATATGTCAGTATTTATATATGGTTATAATTGTGGGGTGGGATCCTATTACAATGTGAATGTAAGAAAGCAGAATTCCACCAATATTTACTTTATAACAAAAACATACATTCATTACTATATAACTAGAGCACATGATCCGATTCTTAGCATATCTTACTCCATAGCAGGTAAAAGTGCTTCCTACTTTTTTTAGCAGGATTTCACACTGGGCGTGCACACTATTTCAAAGCAACAGACTGATGTAAAGACACTTACTACACAAGTTCTAATTATACCAATCGAAGAAATACAGGGAGGGCTTCATTTGCCCACACACTCTCAATCTAACATGGTAAAAACAGTGAGAACACGGGAGACTTAAATTAGTTACCTGCCTCGGGTTTAAAATACCTAAATGTTATCTCTGAACTCACCACTTAGTGACGTCTTCTTTTACTCTTAGTTAAACAGTGAGTATCTTGCCCACAGTGATGAGCACAGCTGTGCATGCAGCAAGTCGCTTTTAGCACATTCACAGAAGTTCCATTTGATGACAAATCCTTTAATGTAGCTGAGGTCAGTGGGAGAGAACAAAATGGCTGCAGTTAGGTCAGGATTTCTGCTTCAGATCAAGAGTCTTTCTAGTGACGGCCCAGCCTTACAAGTAAACACCCTGTCTTCTACCCCTGGCAGTGCTGGTGCTGCTTATTCTGTCCATGAGGAGACACCGGAAACAGCCGTACATCATCGACGACGACGAGAACATCCACGAAAACATCGTGCGCTACGACGACGAGGGCGGCGGCGAGGAGGACACGGAGGCCTTCGACATCGCGGCCATGTGGAACCCCCGGGAGGCACAGGCAGGCACCGCCCCCAAGACGCGGCAGGACATGCTACCCGAGATCGAGAGTCTGTCCCGCTACGTGCCTCAGACCTGCGCCGTCAACAGCACTGTCCACAGCTATGTGCTGGCCAAGCTCTACGAGGCCGACATGGACCTGTGGGCCCCGCCCTTCGACTCTCTCCAGACATACATGTTCGAGGGGGACGGCTCGGTGGCAGGGTCGCTGAGCTCCCTACAGTCTGCCACCTCGGACTCGGAGCAGAGCTTCGACTTCCTGACGGACTGGGGACCCCGCTTCCGGAAGTTGGCTGAGCTCTATGGGGCGGCGGAAGGGCCGGCGCCTTTGTGGTGAGGGAAGCCGGGAGGCCGCGAACGCCGGAATCCAGACGCGCTCGGAGGATACTTTGGTGAACAAGGGGCAGCAGATCACGCGAGCAATAGAGTTCTGTGCTGGAGAGTAAGGATCGGGGAGAACGGGGCGAACAGAGCTCTCTCTGGATCAGCTTTACTTGGTTATATTAAATTCAGTAATCAAGGTGAAACCCAAGAAGAGAAGGACAGAATCTCCAATTACCTTTTGTTTTTAAATTTTCTGACACTGTTTAAAGGGTTGGAGTCCATGGTATTAGGCAAGCTTGGCTTTTCTGCTATTCACAGGGCCTTTGTCACTTTGCCAGCACAGAAGAGGCTCTGGTCGTAAATAGAGAGATGACCAGTGAACACAGGTAGAAAGTTCTACTTTCATGTCCGGATTTTTTTATTAATATTATTTTATTTTCCATTTAAGAGTTTTGCTGGATCATCAAACTGCAGAAAACAACCTACAGAAAAGAACAATGAAAAATTGTTCCTCAGTGAAATTAACCTACCAGTTCTGGGATGGATGGAATTTCTTTTGAGACAAGGTTAAGACTGAGTCAGCCTTGCATGGGGGATGGGTGGGAGGGTGGGAGAAGGAAGAGATAATGACTTTGTACTCAAGTTTTATACCTAGCTGAACCAAGAGTTTTTGGCATTACAGCTAATCTAGTGCCACTGAGTTAGAGTGCTTCTGTTCTCCTTTCAGCTCTTTCAGCCCCTGCAAAAGTGTTCAGAATGAAATGTGAAAATCTGCCTCTTTTGCACTGTAGATGTCTCTTCCATGTGCCAAATGTGGAGATTAGATGCTACAAATGAAAGCCAAATAAAAAGAAGTACCTGGTAAAAGCATGGGTTAGAGGGCTTTCCTAATCTGTGTGAGGTCAATCCAAGGGATGTTTACATACTGTAGATAACCTACTTGAACAAAAATCAGTATTATAGAGAATAAATGGATGTAAGAAAATTACATGTATAAGTTTTGTATATTTGTTAATAATTTTGGTAATAAATATGATGTACTGCATCACAGTACCTTAGCACTTCTTTTAATAAAAGTTAAATAGAAGGGAGAGTCTATTGCCAATTTGTTTAATTGCTGAACCAGAAAAAATGACTTTGTGATCTTGATTTCACCTTAGGTTCTTGGAACTGGGTAAGACAGAAGCAATGTCAAAGAAATATGGTACTGTGCACTCTGTTCCAGTCCCTGACCAGGTGAATGTTATGGTTCAAACTGTTGAGCTTTTAATAAACACTCCTTGTTCTTCCATCTCTGAAAAAGAAACAAAGGATAATTTGGTAATATCAATGATATAATGATGAATTTATTCTATATTATTCACTTGGTGTATTACACCAAGCCACCAAGGAGGTAGGCTGCTGTTACTTTCATTTTGGTTTTAGTCAAATCAAATGTCATCAGTTTATTCACTCTAGATAATCTCACAGTAGGTGAGTACCATATTCTATCCATCTTTCTTTTGCCTATAACAGTTAGCAGTCCTTTGCACATAGTAGATGCTTATTAGATGCTTATTGGGTACATGATGGACAAGATTTCTTTCTTTGACATTCTATTACTAAAGTATACTTACAGTTATCTTCACAATTGAAGACAAAGTGTAAACCAAATAATTTTCTGACAAACTTGATTCTAGCTATAGTTATTAGATTTTAATGTGTATAAGAATCAACTAGAAGGCCTTGTCAAACTATCTCTCCTCCCAAGAATTTCTAACTTGGTAGACCTGGCATGGTTTGCTTTCTAACAAATTCCCTAGTATATGCTGATCCATTGTTGACCCAGAGATCATTTGAAGAATGTATGGTATACAGTTGCTCTTTCTTAGACACATAAACACTAGCTTATCACCCCACTTGAGGCCCACTCTATCAATAGAGTTGTGAATCTCTTCTAGCAAAATAAATGCTGATGAAAAATTTGAGAAGGCAGATGAGAGCCTGGGAACCAGTGGGATGTCATTTTGTGCATGTTACATAGTTTACTAAGAGCAACACAAATTATCTCTGCAGCTTTCTTCATGCTAAACTTTTTCTCCCATGACAAGCAGGCAGCTCTCACCTATCCCATTAAAGTAGGATGTACTACAGAAATAAATAAATTTAACAAAGCAAAAGAACAAAACATGAACCTAAGCCCAAACTAGACACTAGCACATACTAATTATGTGAGTGTGGGCAAATTAACCTCTGTAGCACTCTATTTTTCTACTGCAAGCTCGGGATAATTTTGCGACTATCTGACTTTATGTTGCATGCCTTACAACTGGGAACAGCTGTTATCTTAACCACAGGGGGTTATCATGGCCCACATCCTACAAATCTGATCCCCATGGTACTGGGCATGAAATGATTAAACAGAATTTCCTTGATCTTCTGGTCCCTGAGAGGATAGTTAGTAGTGTAATACAAGAAGTGTGAAAAAAGAACAAAGTAGGAGAACCATTACAGCTCATATAAGGGGCTAAAAGAGACCCTCACTTCCAATGAGTTTTGAGTTTAAAAATTCTCTCTCTGCTATGATGGTGTACTGTGAATAATGCTTCTCACTTTGGAGAAGAAAGGAAAAAGGAAAAAGAGAGTAGACAGAGAAAGATCACTACTGCACAGGTAGTGTGCTCAGGTGAGACCAAAGAGCTATAAAATTATTCCATTATTTTTGTATTATCAGATTAAGCAGGTAGTCATATAATTGACATGTTAAAAGGAAAAGAATGTCTATAGGAAACAACTGATTTAGACTCAGCCTGAAACTGTGTTGTAAATGTTTTCAATGAATTTTTTAATCAAAAAAGGAGACTATATCAACATGGAAGATATCAAAGGCAAAGACTGAGTGCCTCACTCAAGAAAGAACCTATATATCCTCAGAACAGAAGTCAGACAAGTGAAATTCGGCACAGGCACATTGATCAAAAGTTGTTACTATTCACTAGTAATACAAAACTAGGCTTTGATATCGAATCCATAGTACATACAAATAGTACTGGGCTACATGAACATAGATTACACAAGTAGTTCTCCATTTTTAAATCCTTTTGTCATTTTTATTACAGTTAAAGAAACTTACATAGATGGGTAGATAGATCTTCTGCTTGGTCCTTTGTGATCAATGTTCTGATACAGGGAGTAAATAAAATTAGGTTAAAGAGTCCTTTTTAAAAAAAATAATCTACTAAAGAGACTTACATACATCTCTTCTGATTCAAGTTATGCAAAAAAATGCTAATTTGTAGAGCATTTAGTTAACTGTAGCACTAACCCAAAACACAATTTTCCTTACATATTTATTCCTGCGAAAGGATGCACACAAATCCTGACTCATTTATTCAGCCACACTGTTGATTTTTAAGGATGATCAGATGGCTGAGGATGAGGGAGTTTCTTCCACTCCAGCACATTAGCTACCATGGCAAACTTCCAGGTGCCCATGATGCCAAGGAATCGACTTCATATTCCAGAAAGCTTTAGACCTCTTCTCTGAAGTATCCACTTTCAAAAACCAGTACAACCATCCACAAAATCTTTTCTAATTTTTTAGGAGGGCTAGATCCTAGCTTTTCTTAAACGAAAACTTATTTCCATCTCTTTCCCTTCTTTCCTATCACCTATTTTGGTTTCCATTGCTGCATCAAACAAAAAAGCTTAGTGGAATTCACTGATACCATTTATTATGCTCAAACATTCAGTAGGTCGGGAATTTGGAAAGCGTACATCAAAAACATCTCTTCTCCACTAGGAACACTCAAAGGCGAGGGGCAGTTTAAGAGCTGGGACCCAACTCATCCAAAGACTTGCTTTTTCACCACATGTCTAGTAGTTGATGCTGGATATCAGTGAGGACCAGATGTAGTAAAAGTCATCCAGAACTCCTCCTCTGGTTGTGTGGACTTCCTCACAGAATGGTGGTTCAGTTCCAAAAGGGAGCAACACAAGAGAACCAAAAAGAAATTGAATCACCACTTATAACATTAGAAGAAGCATAGCATTACCTCTCTGGTAGTCACAAGCTTCCCCACACTGAGGAAAAGGGAACATGCACTCCACCTCTCCATGGGATGTGTCAGAGCATCAGAGCTACAGCACAAGAAGAAATAATGTTATGGCCATTGTTGGAAAACACAGTCAGCCACACCATCTTTTCCTTTTTTGTGCAATGTCTCTCCTTACTACTCCAGGAATCACCTTTGGTTCTATTCATAATTTCCTTTATCTCTCCCACTCTCCATCCTCTGTATAGAATAAACTCTTTTTTAATTAATTAAGTTTATTGGTACATTTTAGGCATATGTGACGATCACATTATCACAGGGAATTTGTCCCTGTACATGGTATATCTTCATTCTTTTTTCCCATTCCCCTATGCCCCCTACTACCCTCTTCCTATTTACAAAATCTCTTTCCATTTTTTCTTTCTTTTTTAATTTTTCCTTTTCCCTCCCTCCCCCCCCTCCCTAGATCCCCTTCCCATTTGAATATTTTCTTCCCATTTCACAATATCTATTATAATTTTGGTCCTTACTTACACTTTCAGTTTCTCACACCAGAGAAATGATGGGGTATTTGCACATGTGTGTCCAATTTATTTTACTTTAGTAACCTTATGTTCTTCAGGTGCATCCATTTACTTAGAAGTGTCTTGAGCTTATCCTTCCTTATGGCTAAGTAGTACTCCATTATATAAAATAATGACATCTTCTTTATCCAGTCATCATTTGATGGGAATTTGGACTGTTTGCAAGATTTAGCTATTACAAACTGTGCTGCTATAACATGTGTGCCCATGTATCACTGTGGTATGATGCTTTTAATTCTTTTAAGAAGATATCAAGAAGGGGAATAGCTGGGTGCAATGAGATTTCTAGTCCTAGTTTTTATGAGGAATTGCCACACTGATTTCCACAGTGGTTTCACCAGTCTACACTCCCACCAACAGTGGAAAAGTTTTCCTTTTTCCCCACATCCCCACCAGCATTTGTTATTGACTGATTTCTTGATAACAGCCATTCTTTATGGAGTGAGATGGAATCTCATCCTTGTTTTAATTTGTGTTTCTCAAATTACCAGTGATATTGAACATTTTTTCATATATTTATTTGCTGTTCATACTTCTTCATCTGAGAAGTATCTATTAATTTTAGTGCCCATTTTTGGATTGGATCTTTAAATTTGGGTGTTCTGGCTTTCTTGAGTTCTTTATATATTCTACATAGTAGTCCTTTGTCTAAGGAACAGATGGTAAGATTTTCCCACACTGTGGATTGCCTCTTAACTTTGTGGTTTCTCTACCTGTGCAAAAGCTTTTGAATAAGATGAGATCCCAGTTGTTGATTCTTTGTGATAGTTCCTGTGCAGTTGGGGTTTTGTTCATAAAATCTTTGCCTACACCCATGCCTTCAAGTTCTACCTATTCTATCTTGCAGCAGATTTAGAGTTTTTGTTTTAATACTTAGATCTTTGGGCCATTTTAGCTTAGTTTAGAGCATAGTGAAAGATAGAGTTTTATTTTTAATCTCTGGCATGTGGAAAGCCAATTTTTCCAGCACCATTTATTAAAGAGGCTATCTTTTTCCCAGTGAATGTGTTTGGCTCTTTTGTCAAAGATAGGTTGGCTGAGTATGTCTGGAGTTGTTTGGGTATCTTCTGATCTGTCCCACTGATGCTTGGGTCTGGGTTTTTTTTTTTGCTAGTATCATGCTATTTTTTAATCACAGTTGCTTTTTAGTACAGGTGTAAGTCAGGAATTGTGATGCTGCCTGCTTTGCCTTGGTTGCCCAGAATTGCCTTTGCTATTCTAGGTCTCTTCGGGTTCCAAGTGAATTTTAGGAATGTTTTCTCTAATTCTGGGAGATATGCTAATGAAATTTTGATTGGGATTGAATTAAATCTGTATAACAATCTTGGAAGTATGACCGTTTTCACTATGTTGCTTCTTCCTCTCCAAGAACAAGGGATATCTTTCCATTTTCTGATATCCTCTTCAAACTCCTTTTTCAGAGTACTGTAGTTTTCAATGTGGAGGTATTTTGCTTTCTTCTTTAGATTCCTAGGTATTTGATTTTTTTCTTGGATGATACTGT